ACAAAATTACTTGCAATGGCAACGGAATTGCTTTTACGATTGGTTAAAAACGATCTAAAGCTAAAGGAGCATTTCAAGAAGGGGGGTTTAAATTCCCTGACTGCATGAGAATGTGCTGTGCTGTAAAATTGATAAGTTCACCAAATCCTGCTTAAAATCAAATGATTCGTAACGTAAACAAAGAAGCCTACTTGAATACGAGCACATCTCGATGTTTGACGGGATCATGAACATCAAAAGACGTAGTGAAGAAGAGAATCTCGTTGGTCACTTCAGGCGGCAACCGCAAGCACCGATAACCCATGGCCACGTAGTCGAAGGCTGAAGAAACCTGCGACAGGTTTATTGATTGACCGATGCCAAAAGCAGAGACCCGAAAGAGATTATTGTCAGCGAAGGGCTTCGGATGCTAAAACAAAGCAGAATCCTGAACTTTATAGCAACGAATAAACGATATGTTGTACTTCTTAGATGAAATAATGAACCAGTTCAGTCGGGGAATCATTGGCCGAGGTGGCAACTAAGAGTAGCAGTGTTCATTTCACCAAGGAGACGAAATATGAGGAGAGAAGAGACTTTTTAATGTGAAGGTAGAATCTAAACCTATGGAAAGGATAAATGCACAAAAGATTTCACGTTTTGTAGGGAGAAAGTACTTAACTGTGTTTCTTCTTTGACACAGTAGAAGACATTAATTTAACTTGTACCTGTCTCGTACACTGTGAAGAGAAGAAGAGATGTGGCAGGTCGATTCAGAGATTACAAGGACTGACTTGATTTATTCCCAGTAGCTTCAATTTGACCAAGTCGTTGCCTGCTAGTTGTGCTCCAAAAATAGGAGAGCAAACCATTTGAACGTTCAGCCATAAGGTCACATTATGCTGTCCCATTAGCAACTGCTCGATTATAATAAGGAAAATGGGAATAGAATGGCAATAGAAGCTGTCAAATCAGAATCTACTCAGCACACAAAACATGCGCTCAGGGCTTGAGCTTACGAATAATCGGTTGGTGTAGGGAAGAGGAAGAGAGGGGTAAACCGATATTCTAGCGCGTGTCCTTTTAGGCCTAAGTGGCCATGAAACAGAATGAAGGAGAGAAGCGAAACTATCCATGCATCATCAGGCTGCATGCTTTCCTGTGTTAAATACAATCTTCTCCCTAATGGAATCGTCCGAAGTTAACCACACAGATGTATCGAAGATTGAAGGGTGTACACTCTCCGAACTAACAAGTGAAGGAGTGGATCGAGTCATCATTGTAGAGGTGAGACAGACTATTTACCAGTTGCTCTGACATAGCTTGGCCAAAGTTATGGTACAACTACTTAGAAATTATACGTAGAAGCAATTTAGCAGACTTAAGATGGTTCGTAACCAAAGCACCAGAAGTAGAGATCCAGCAAAGCCTAACTAAAGCTGAGACTGTGATCAAGAACGAGAGCTCAGCAAGTCCGAAATTATGTTATCATCTTTAGTTGACAAGCACTGCTAGCCGGAACTCTCTTTAGAGGGCAAACACTCGAAAAGAACTACACCTTCATACAACAACTCGTAATAAAAAGCCAGAAAGAAGATGTCCAGACCAATCCAGGTCACACCGTTTCCTAGTCAATTTCTCGATCAACATTTGATTCCGGCGGCAAGAAAAATGTGGTAATCACCATTTCCAGGTTAGAAAAATACAACTTCATAGAAGGGAGGAAATAAGGCGAAAACAAGATAGACCATTATTCCTCCCTTCATTCTGTGGCAACTGAAATGTACATGTCTACATGCAACTATTTGACGTTGTCTCGACGTCTGATTGATGGACTAATCCCTGACAATCTCTAATGCAATACCCCCTTCAACAAACCACTAAGCTTGACGAAACGACATAAACAGGTGGTTTTGATAACGAGAGATGATCATCTACATCTATGAGCTACCACACAGGAACACACAAAAGATAGTCGACTTAGCGTGAAGTAGCGCATTTCAATTATGCGAGGTGGGCAGTGAATTACCTCTCATCACAGGTCGGCAGGTGGTGTGAGGCAAGTGAACGGAGTAGGAAAAAGAAACCCATTACCATCAGGAATGGATGAGACTCATGCGGTGATTCATCAACTCAATCTCACCCCATAGGAGGAGTGTTCAACAATTTCCCAACGCACCTTTCCCAATGTCATGCGACAGATGATAAGAGGAGTACCAGTAGCTCGGAAAGTCAGTTAAGCCTAGAAGAAGGGTCGAAAACTTGACAGGTAACGCCTACGCAGATGTATATGTGCAATTTGCTATCAAATGCATCAGGCTATTAGCTGCCGCAATATCAAGCTGCCCAAAACTAGAGTACATTTGGGATCACTCATTGCATGAACGTACCATTCACACAGAGACGATGTCAGAAATTTTATTAAACTGTAGTTCAAAGCATTTACCTGATGGCACGTTTAAGGGCAAATGACTGATTAAAAGCGGCAATAAGTCTCGCTCATCACCAAAGTATCTATGAGATATAGTCGAAATTTGTCCAAACAGTAATTAGAATATATCTGTATCGAATAAAGTTTCTGCGTCAACAAACGTGAACTCACTGATGGTGCAAATCGTTGTGGTTTCGGAATCATTGATTTGCCCGTTGTTAAGGGGATGTTAAGTTCACGAACGGCTTCAGAGGCCACCCGAAGTGAGGAAAGAAGGGACGTACTAGAATATTTACTATCACTCAATGAGGATCTTGTAAAAGCTATCCGATTCGGGAGTAGCAGGCACCGGAGAAGCCCTCGTATCCAAGGCGTGCCCTTTAGGGAAAGAAAGTCGTAGGTGTGACCTAGAAACGCATCACTACCTTCTAGACTACCTCCGAAAAAACGATAAAAGAAGGGGATGTTTGGTACACAAAAAGGTTTTAAATCGACCTCTACCAACTAAAAATCGCGTTGAATAAAAGTAAGAGTGAAAAGTTCGAAAAAGTCAACGTAGAGAAGATGGAAGAGGGGAGTGATGGAAAGTCAAAAACTTCAAAGACTGATTTCCGCAATGTTTGGGTCCTGTTCCAGCTCATCAAAAGCAAAGTATTTGTGAGTGACTGTGGATAAGGCGACACGAACAATACGCAGACCAGGTTTGTCGTGCCCGAGTTGGAGCCCCACAGCGGAAGAGGAAATGATCTCAAGTGGAGTATCGCTACTGCCGCCTTGTGGATGCCACAGCCCACCGCTGTTGTAGTGAAGATGGCCAGAAAAAAGATATCGCACGCCAGCTCTATAGTATCGACTTAACAAATCTTCGCGAACGTTCTTTGGCAAGTTGAAGTAGTCATCTTCCTCATTTCGTGACTTTTTAAACGGCGGGATGTGCTGAAGATGTTGAATAATAATATTATGCACTCTAGCTTACCTGGAAAACAAAAATATTCTCAGCATCCCTATTCTCACGTGCAGAAAGTTCATTATCAAGCCATCCATCCTGCTCTAAAAACTCGTTCTGACAATTCGAACGATTAAAGTAAGGTTGGGAATTAATAACGATATTCTTCACTTTGCCACACCAAAATGTGAAGTAATCGTTTCCCCAATGCGACCTGTAGTCGTTTATATCAGCTGGTGAGGGAGCATTTCCGACATCGTGGTTCCCAGGCAAGACAAAAATAGGAATACCGGAAGAAAGCTTCTCCAGAGAAGACTTCAAATCGGAAATTTGCTCCTCTCTTTCAGAACAACCAGGCTCAGCATCAACCAAATCACCACAGATAATAACAAATTTTGGTGGCTCAGACAGCCTGTTTATGGCTGTGATGGCACGATCTACAAGGGCAAGTTCACGATCCCATTTATAGGGTGGATCACGCTTTTCACCATAGCGTTCAAGCAGAGCCAGCTGTGGATCAGCAAGCTGAATGAACGTAAAATTACTGGTGTTGGCATCTATGTTTGTTGGTAAACGACGATTTGTTATCGAAACGAGACCTGAGACCATGCGGAGAAAAGAGCGTAGACTGCCGCAGCACCAGTTGAAATCATCATAATGTTAATTACCAATGGCAGATAGGCCTAGAGAATACCAATAAACGCAATGATTCGATACCAGACCGGCATATTGGGACTGCTTCTACAATAGTTTGCTAAATGCATACGAATTAGCTCGTTAATAAACTGAGCAACGTTTGTTCCGAACCAACACTTTAGCGTTCTGTTCTAAATTTGGTTTTAAACAAGTCAAGACAGCATAAGCGTTTACATTCAAAAACGCCAGAAGAAAGCCTATTGATAGTTTGTTTAATGCACCATCGCATATATAAACTACTGTTTCGTTGAGACCTCAGCAATAATTACACAAGAAATTCTTTCTTCACCCCGATTATCCAATCATTTTAGTGGTTGTATTCAGCATACGGCCGACGGCCTAATTAGCCTGCTTTGGCATAGGGTGCATTGGTTCTCGTTTCGTATTTGGTATCCTCAATTTGCCTTGAAGGAGAATAATTGTGAGGTGTTCGTACGAGGTATCCATGCTGAAGGTGGTAATTAGTCTGCGCTGGGCTTAAAGCATTTGTCTGCACCAGACAAAGAATCACTCTTGTTAGTCTTATTGAGCACATGCGTAAATTATGCAGTTTTATTCCTTCTTTATGCTAAAACACTGTTTTCTTTAAAGAACACTGTTCCTTACGCCGTCACTCTTTCTGCGTCTTCGTTTGGTTAATTCCATCGGTATCATTATGCATATTGTTTTGATGGTGGCTGAAAAGCCCTCACTGGCAGAAGCCTTGGCAAAAATCATGTCACACGGTAGCCATATGTCTCGACGAGGCAGTAATGGCGCCTGTAGCATCCATGAGTGGAACGGGAATTTTCGTGGGGATCCGGTTCGTTTTAGAATGACCTCAGTGTGCGGCCATGTCATGACTTTAGACTTTGTTGGCCGTTATAATAATTGGGATGCCATTGATCCGGTTAGACTTTTCCTTCTCTGGCTTATGTGGTGTAGGTTGAGCTATTTGCTGCAAAGATCGCAAAAAAGGAAGCAACTCCAAAACTGCGTATGGTGGATTTCTTGCGAAGAGAAGCCAAAGAGGCTTCCTCTCTCATTCTTTGGTTGGATTGCGACAAGGAGGGTGAGAATATTTGCTTTGAAGTGATCGAAGCAGTAACTCCAGTTATGAGTTCACAGGTTTGTCTCTGGCTCATTGACAAATTGATCCCATTCCTTTTAGTAACTGCATTTTTTTATCTAAAGGCCAAGGTTTACAGAGCTCATTTCACCGCAGTCACAGATCACGAGGTTAAAGTGGCTATGCAAAATCTCCGCCAGCCAAACAAAAACGAGGCGTTGTCTGTGGATGCAAGGCAGGAGACGGACCTGCGAATTGGATGCGCCTTTACACGTTTTCAAACCAGGTTCTTTCAGGTAGGTCAAGGTTCCTCATTTTTCTGTAGCACTTGTCTTCATACCATCGTTCTGTTCAATTTCCAGGGAAAATATGGCGATTTGAATAGCCGTCTTATCTCCTTTGGTCCTTGTCAAACTCCGACTTTGGGTTTCTGTGTGAAACGCTACGATCGCATTCAGTCCTTCAAGCCTGAAACCTTCTGGCGGCTTACTGCTTCGGTCAGTTCGAACTTTATTTCTTAACGCGTCTTTGCACAAAGTTGTGTCCTCTCCCACCCATTGACCTCGCAAACTTGGTAAAATGTGATCCACGTACTTCGAGTTTATCTGTTTGATCATGCAAGTTGTGTTGTGGTTTCAAAGCTAAAGAAGTCATTGGACAAATTTTTTGCAGTGAATTCAGTGAAAACGTAGTATGCATAGGTATAACCGTGTCTATTTTGTTTCCAGTTTCAATTGCAATGTTTCATGACTGATCTATTTTCCTCTGTAAGATGGTGACTTCTATTCCGTGAGCACGTAAACCATGTGCGTTCCTCGATCAACCCAGTTGTTGTGCACTTTGCGCACTTCCTGCCCAAAGGTTGGTGGGGTGTCTTTAAGTGCTTGGATCTCGCTTTGCAGAAGAAACTGTTTGCTTTCAACATAAATACAGGTTTTTCGGATAAACGGAACTGGAATAGAAATTTCGTTAAGTAAGCTGTGCTAGACACGGGGCGGGGTGGACTCGGCCATACTACAAGGTTTTGCTTGCTAGACGTAGGTTGGTGGAATCTGTGGCTGGTTTTGTTTCCCTTTGAAAAGGTGGTCGCGCTTACGATGGAATTGTTTGAAAAGTATTCCAGGTCTATTACTTTTTGCGGGGAGGGCTTCATTGCGAACTGAGGTCGACTTATGGTTTGGAACGATTGCGCTCATTTTTTACAGCTGTGGTGTCTAATCGAATCGTAGTCCACCTCTGTCAGTTTGTAGTTTTGTGCGGTGGCACCTGGCTAATGCTAATGTTTCTTTGTGTACCTCGGAGTTGTGCGTCTTGGGCAGCTGTCTGTTGAGGTCAATTTGAAGGTTTGCTGAAATATTTCGCAAAATTGAATCGCTCTCGCTTTTATCTTGCTGGGAATGCATCATGCCCGACAAACGATAGCGGTGATTGATTGGTGTTTCACTGGGCTTTCAGTCATATAACATCGTGTTGAAGTAGTCGGTGCCGCCTACTTAACCACCATCCCTGTGGCCGGGTAGTCATTTTTTCATGTACTTTTCCTGCATGATTGCTTTCCAATAAAGGGGAAAGTTGTAGATGAAATAACGAAACAGCTGAAGGAAATTTTTCACTTCAGTCGCACCTGCGAAGGAGTTTTACTACTCAAGTGCAAACAGTGTGCACTTAGCTCTTTTATGCCGATGGTAATAGGTTATGACCCGAGACCAAGCGTCTTTGCGCTTATTAAGCTGTCACTCTTTTGAGGCGAATAATTCGTAATTTTTTAATTCTCAGGTAGTGGTTAACGAACAGGGTGACCGGCTTCCCCTCACGTGGAATCGTGATCGATTGTTCGACAAGGAAGCTGCAACCGTCTTCCTCAATGCAGTTTCTGGTGCTGACAAGGCGCTGTGAGTCATTACTGCATCCCTGCCACTAATCATATTTATTAGCACCAAGAAGTGGCTAAATAAGCTTGTTTCCTCTTGAATCCTTTTTAATGGCCAGGGTGGTAGACGTGACTCGCAAAGTGAAATTAAAACCGCGTCCCCAGGGTTTAAACACAGTGGAGATGTTGAGAGTGGCTAGTGCCTCACTTGGCATAGGTCCTCACGCTGCAATGGCAATTGCGGAGCGCCTCTATACTTCGGGCTTCATCAGCTATCCTCGTACCGAATCAACCGCCTATCCGCCTTCCATGGATTTGAAGGCGCTACTGCGACAGCATGTAAGTCCCTCTTTCCTCCATCCCTGACTTCTTCACTGCACACAAGGTGAACCTCAACACGGTAGTATTTTGGAATTAGTTTATATCACCTGATTCAGCATTATCGATGCTAAGTGGTAAGGCATCAACAATCAACAAATTCAGTGTTATCGTGTTTAAAATCATTTGTTCAATCAAGTCATGCGTCTCGGTGCTAGATGGGGATTCGCGGAAATATAAAGTTACACGCTGTTGGATCTTATCAAACAATACTTTTCCTGATTCATGTCTTTTTTCTACCCCTTCTTTTCCAGATTAACCACCCGAAATGGGGCGATGTGGTGAGTGACCTCCTGAAATTGGGTTATCATAACCCTCGCGCCGGTCACAACGCTGGCGACCATCCGCCCATTACCCCAATGAGATGCGCGACGGAGCTCTCTGGAGATGCTGGCCGTCTCTACGACTACGTGACGCAGCACTTCATAGCCACAGTGAGTCACCTTGCCCCATCCATTTCTTTCATAATTCCGGTACCATGGGGAATCTCCTCCTAACTGGTGCGTTCAAGGATGCTTGGGGATCATTGGCCCGAACAAATTCAGTACAGGCTGCAGGATTATTTTTTAGACGGTGAATTCATGGTTCTCCCAACATACATTTTAACACTGGCATTCTAAGCTTTTCTAAGCTCATTATACTTGTTTTCATTATTGAAGTAACTCTGAAGACACTGCAGCTGCATACTTATTTCTAACTGATGTTTCAATAATTTGCTTTCTCTTTTAGCTCATGCCTGATTGTAAGTACGAGACCACCACTGTGGTGTTGAACATTGGTGAGGAAAAATTTATCACTCGCGCCTCTCGTGTCCTCGACCCTGGCTATACACGTATATTCACGTGGCAGGCCATTGGGCGTGACAGTAACGACGACGACGGTCCCGATGTGGCCTTGGCAGTTGCACTTACTACTCCGGGCTCAAGTTTACCGCTGGGTGAGAAACCGCGTCTTGTGGAGGGTCTGACGAGCCCTCCGGGGTATCTCACGGAGGCGGAGCTTATCACGGCCATGGAGCGACATGGGATTGGAACAGATGCCTCTATCCCGGTGCACATTGAAAACATTGTGGAGAGAGCTTATGTTGAGGTAGGCGTATGCTAACTTTTGGTACTTTTGAATGCTTCCAAAATAACCAGTTAGAGTTCTTTTTATCCTCAATCAAGGAGGTCACAACTATCCTTTCTCTACTCAGATTCTTCCAGGTCGCCGATTAAAGCCGACCCCTTTGGGCGTAGTTTTAGTCCACGGCTACCACTCAATCGATCCGGAACTTGTCCTACCCCACATGCGTCGCGCTGTTGAAGAGCAACTCAATCGCATCTCCACTGGTGAAGCTGACTTCCACCGTGTCCTTCAATTCGTCATTGCTATCTTCACTACCAAATACCGATATTTCGTGGAACATATCTCCTCGATGGATCAGCTGTTTGAAGTCTCTTTCTCCAGTCTAGCAGAGTGTGGTCGACCTCTAACAAGATGTGGAAAGTGTCGACGCTATCTGAAGCTGGTGGATTCAAAGCCACAGCGCTTGCATTGTCCGGTATGTTCCGACACCTATGCGGTACCGCAGAATGGTTCAATCCGACCCTATAAGGAGACAAAATGCCCATTGGATGATTTTGAACTGGTGCTGTGGACACAGGGCACCAAGGGAAAGGTGATGTTTCGTTTTTTGGAAGTTTGGAATTGAAGAGTTACTTTACTTCCCTTTTCTCAACCCAACTCTCAGAGCATGATCTTCTGTCCCTACTGCTACATAAATCCACCCTTTCCGAAGCAATGGCGAAATACAGGGTGTGCCAATTGCCTCCATCCCACATGCACCTTCTCGCTGGCCGTGAATGGCGTGGATGCCTGCACGGAGTGTTCTCAGGGAACGCTAGTGTTAGACGACTCTCATGCGCCGAAATTCCGCTTATGTTGTAATAAGTAAATGTGCATTGTTTTGTCAACCATACCGATGCGTACTTTTAGAGCCTTTACTGCTGTTCCTTCATTAATTACGTCTTTTTAATTCTTTCAAATCTTACATTTTTGTAGGTGCGATTCCATTGTCCTCTTCTCTGAGGCAGTAAAATCTGCTTCTGTCCGAAACGCCACTTGTGAGGTGTGTACAGCTCGTCATCTTACCCTCCAAATTGATACAGTAAGCCATCTTCCTCTTGTTTTGCTGTTCGAATGCACTAACTGGTGTGCGTATTTTGAAATAAAAACAAAAACTTTGCCTTTGGTGCTGTTCAAGTGGGAAAGTCTAATCTTCCTCTAGTTAGAAAGAAGTGGTGTTAGGAAGCGACCAATCAGTTATTACCGATTCGGCATTGCTGGAATCGAGGAGCATATTGTTATCGATGCATTGGTGGCATCATTGAAAAGAGCTTCAACTCCCTGTAACGCCTTTCCTTCTTACTTTTTGCAGAGTAAATTGAAATCCGGTGATTCAGCTATGCCCACCAAATTCACTGGTTGCGTGTTCTGCTCCGAGGAGATGTGCAAACTGCTCTCTACTCGCAAAGCAGCTAGCCTCTCTACCATCGCTTCCAGTGGTCGTGGTGGTGCCTCACGGGGCAGGGGATCGCGGGGCAGTGGTAGGGGTCGCCAGTGAATCTTCTCCTTTCCGTACTTTTGTCTTACTCTTTCTGAGTGCAACTTCATTTTGTACAGTTACTCTTCGATGTATTGCATGTCTTTTGATTGGTTGTAACTGGCAGATCAGCCCGATGCTGAAGTTTGGGCTTACAGGAGCCATCATTCGACTCACTTAAACTTACCCATTGGTTGTGGCGATTTTGTGTGAATGGTTTCTAGGACCAGGGACCTCTTCATGTCCATGCTGTTTATAGTAAACAGTTCTTTTTTGCTGCGGAACTAGATGACCTCTTAATTCTGTTGTCTTTTGTATTTAATCTGGTTTTTAATGAGGTAGTTGTAGAGACTATTTTGATTTCATTGTATAACCTACGGGAGTTGATTTTGGCAGGCAATTGCGGTGGCGAGTGCCTCGCTGGCGTTCCCATCCAAATGTTCTTCACTATCCTAAATCATCTACTCTAGACGCATATTAGAGGACAGGTTGACACTTTCTCAAACGTCTACACTTCGATACTAGGAGTGGAGGGCGGTGCCATTTGAGAAGAGTTCACCTATGTTGAAGTGCTTCAATACCGGAGGCAGGTCTTTAGGACTTTTGACGAGTTCAACTGCGCACAGTATGGCAAGCCTAACCGAACTTTCCTGGTTTAGCATGCAGTCGGACATGACGCGCTGCAAAAGTGTGGAACATAGAAGAGCAAAATGAGCAAAGCCGCACCTCGGCGAACTAACGCTCACTTCTGATTCATCAGTTCTTTGGATCATGCGCTTGTATCGAACTTCACCGAGATCTCACATCTTTTCTTTGTTACTGCACTATACCCAACTTCCAATTTAGGGAATTATGGTTCATGAATGTTTTTGATCTGCCCACCGTCTCTCCAACCAACGCGAACGCATGAGCACGGGAGCATGAAGCTGGATCAACATTGATTCAAGGCAAACTTTTTGACCTAAAATTGATCCTAACTTGGACGCAGTCAATAGGGGATGTGTAAAGAGGAGGTGCGACCCCCAACATGTTTCTAATTTATTCATGAAAATGGAAGCTTAGGGGAACATTTGGGAGTCTCTCCAGATTTGATAATACCGACAAATCGCACTGCAGACTTACCAATGCCAAATTGCAATCGATGGAAACCTTAGCTGGACGATTGACAATCACTAATTGCGCCTCTTTAACGATTAATAAAAGAACCATTTGAAAATTCTTTACTGCTTGCACAGATTTTCGATCGTTATTACTTTCGGAATAAGTTCTTCGGGTAAATGGGTTGCTGACATCTTTGCAAAACCCAAGGGACACCCGTTATAGTCGCCTTCATGGGAGCAAATGAATCCACCTTTCACGTAGCCTGGGGCTGACGTAAAAATGAACTCTTCAGGAGCCTCGAATTCCATGTTGACATTGGGTAACAAAACGGGCCAGTATGGGGCATCTCTCGCATTTTTGTTTCGCGGTTTGTGGAAGATCACGTCGGTGTTTCTGAAGCTTCTAGCAGCGCCACTTTCCACGTGACTGAAAGGTGAAGCGGCCCACTTGCAGGATGTGTTCTGAGGCCTACATCTGACATCCTCCAGCTGACCATCAATCCAAAAGAAGTTATTTAAATTCATGTAGTGAAAGGCTATAGCCTGATCAATTATGGCTCTCAGGGGCTTCACCTCTCGATCACCCAACCAAGCTAATCTGCCTTGTTTATAAAAGGTAGAGCACATCTTCACAGCCCTGTCATGGTTCACTTCGACAGAGGCGAAAATGGCGTACGTGAAGAGTCCACTCGTTCCTTCAAACTCGGGACCACTGGGGTTAAAGAACTCGCGACAATTAGAGCAGGTGAACATTGGTAAGAAAAGCACCAAAATCTCCTTAATGAGCCACATTCTTTGTGCTTTTTGCTTATCAAATCGATATATTAATCAATCACTTTAATTAAATGATTGTAAGTGACCTCTTTAAATTAGCCTATGAACTGTTCACAAATTGACTTGCAGAATGCATTATCTCTCGGTTTGGATTTCACATAACGCCAGTTTCTATGAGGCCTAAAATTGCTCCCCTCTGTCTGGCAGTATTGTGGAAGGAGGGCAAAGGCTCTGTCACCAGAAGTCCGGCTTAATAAGAACTCAAAAAGCTCTTTTATCTCTGTACATTGCGCTTATTAGGAAAGCAATTGGATTAGGGGAGAAATTTACAGAGGAAGAACTGTTGAATGAGAATCCACCCTCCAATGACAAGTACAGCAGCGATTATGTAAGCAAAGATTCGATAAGCTCTCATCATTACTTTACATATGCTGGACGTCTCGTGTGGTGTTGCGTGCCTAACTGCTATTAAAGCCAACTGTCTCGTCCTTCTGCGCGATGGGCATGTTCTCGCCGAATTCTTGGGCGTGGAAGTGCACAGGGGGGATGGAATGAGTTTTTGGCGTCGGGTTTTCGATCGAGTTCTATGGGGCGGCATCGTACGGTCTCGACAAGACCCTTCAGCACAAACGGTGTTCTGTGGAAGTCACGTGGCGGAAATCGATTTTTCGCGTTTATAAATAACTCAACGCAGAAATTGAACTGGACAAATGGAGGAATGTCAAAGTGAAAAGTCCACCAGACTCATTCGGATTATGCTAATTAGGACTGTTGATCTCATGGTTGCGAAAGTAATCCAAGTTTATCATGATTACAAGATTTAGTGGAGATGTATACAAAATTTGGCATTATTACACACAAATTTCTCTACATGTGAACGGTTCATAAAATGCCGTGGAGGTGAGATGCTGGAGTTCATTTCTATCGCTTTATTGGCAGAGAGCGCCAAAGTAATCCTGAAACAGGGACATGCTTCTTCTTCGACCCTTTTGTAGCCTGTAACTTGCATTTTATATGCTTAATAAAGTTTCTCAGCAGAAGGCAAACCCCTTGGGTGCCTGTCAAGTGGGCTAAAATATAGTGGAGCTGGGACTACACAAATTGTTGAAATTGAGATAAGAATTGACAGTCTGTTAGCAAAAGCTATTCAAAAAAGGAAAGATTTTAAGTTTATTATTTTACGAATGTCCTTGTAGACCTTATATCACTTTCGTCGAACTCCCTCCTAACCGATTCCATAGGGTTCGCCTTTGTTTTGGTGCTCTATTTGGCTTTAGAGTCATAGTGGAATACATGGAATATAGAAGGAAGGGAAAGCGAAGCCAGTCGTGGTTTCCGCGACACGTCATCCTTTCCGAACATGTGGTTCGAAGTAAACTCTTGCATTAGACAAACAGCGACTTCTCCCCTAGTACCTACTGTTTGTTGCATGTAACTACGGTGTGGAGGAGATGCATCTGCATCGAAGCGGATAAAAAGCTCTGATTTCTTGTTCATAATAGTTGATAAATATATCTGCGTTTGACTTCAACTTGTCCCTGTGTTCCGCAGACAAGCATCAACAACTGAAGTGACACCATCGGGAACCATCTAAAAAGTTTCGCGTCGGACTTTCCCCTACTAAATGCCTAGATAGATGTGGGAAATGACTCTGCGGTTCTCCTTTTACACGAAAGTTTTTCTCATCCCGTTTCCCCATTGAAGCATCTGTTTTAGATCAGAGGTCCACCATCTAATTCTGGAGGCAATTGATGCGGCCTCGATTTTCGGCTGTCGTGCCGAAAGTAACTTCAGGTCTCATTGAAACTGGCGAGGAGACCAAGTATGGACCCTAAGTCTCATAGTATATATTGCAATACACTGTTGATGTGATCACCTAATGTATGGCGGTCACTCTAAGATTTCCCTGGACCTTGTATGCGTGGGTTAGCCTTCGCGCCAAGTCCAGGTCTAGCTTCTTTGTTCTCTCTAAAATACATGTTATCAGCTCCATTTGGTGCCTTCTTCTACCTTGTGGGAAGTCTCGAGACGCTCCAGCTGTTGACTGAAATGGCTGCGTTATGGTGCTTTCTTGCAGTGCCAAATACGCTGTGATGGCTGGTGCAGGCATATTAAAATGAGTACCAATATATCCCCTCCATTTGATATCTCCTATTCGGCTCATCTGCATCCAGATCCCCATTCTTCCCGTAACAAATGCCAATTAAATCCTTTGTAACCAACCCTCTCTTGAAGTCTGATGTTCAGAGGCAAAAGGGTAGACAGGCAGCTTTTACAATCAGTACTTCGGTTATGTGCCCACCTGATATCTGTGTTACCTGAAAATTGGGCGGGTCCTTGTACGCGTAGGTTGGCCTTCGGATCAAGATCGAGCTTAGTCTCTTTGTTCTTCTGAAATACGTGTGTTTAGCTCAGCCATATTTAAAGTCTATAGATAAGGAATTGGCACCTAAAATCTGGAGTTAACATGCATAAACCCGCAAAATATGGGCTTAAAGTATTTGTTTCTTAAGCAAAACAACAAAAAATTTATGATTAATAGAAAAAACTTTTTTATCTCCTTATCCTCTGTCTACATGCAGATACCTAATACTGCTGCTGCGCAAAATTTCCATCATTGAGAGTTGTTTTATCGCCTTGACACAATAATTTCCTTCTCAAGGTTATACTTGCTATGCATTTATTGGTTTACGCAAATATGAATTGCTTTGGTTTGATGCTAGTGCTGTTGTAAATAACCGGAAGTGAATTAAGGTGCATTTTGCTCCGAGGTGCTGTGTCCTTGAAAAAAACAGGTTGCAATCGAGTTTATTTTTTGTGGAATTTAATGAAGTATAGCTATGTTATGCGTCTTGGTCGTTGTTGGTGTGCTTCATTTAGTTTTCTTGTTTTACTGCTGTTACTTGGGGGTTTATCATTTTAGCTCAGCTTAATTATGATTGTTGTTGCGCATTCCTAGTTCGTAGACTACAGTAAGAAGCTAGTCATGATGTTCTTGCATTTATCCATGAGCATATATTTGGCATTGTGTAGTTGGTTTCGGAGGTTGTTGACCGTCTTTTTTACGTTCATCTGATGTCTGCCTTTTTTTGTAGAACTGACTCCAAATGTTTTGGTAAGTCTAGATCATTTTTACCTATGGTTTTAGGCCGATGTTAACCATTTTACTCTTCCCTCAACTTATTGATTCGCGAACGGAGTTCAGTAAGTATTTTTTCCCTTTTTTATCCATCATTTTAGTTAGCGCGTTGGAGTGCTTTCAAAGTCCTAAGAATCCCATTCGCTTTGACAGCGTTGTTCTCTCTGGTCAGGGTATTCGTGGAAGTACTAAGTGCTTTCTTGATTCCGTCTACAATGACTACTACATGAGTGTGCAGATTAATAAACTGGACTTAAAGGGCGATTGCCCTAGCTTTTCTGTATCCGAATATTCCACCTTAAGGAGCAGCGAGATCCCGGAATCAGAGAACTTCCCTTCAATCAAAATCTACCAACCCAGTGATGATAATCGACTGGTAAGTGGCCATTGGAATTGCTTTGTTGATATTGCTTTTCTGAGTACTCTCACTGTAATTGTTCTTCTGCTATTTCTCGAGAAAATTAGATGCGTTTCCTAACTTGGCAACAGTTTTGCCTACTTGTTTGATGATTGACATGGTATGTATTGCAATCGAATGGGAGGACGATTCGTGACAACGATTACAAACTGTAGTGTTGGAAAAGACTTATCAGAATTTTTTGATTTTGTTTCCGGGAAACCTCATTACATTGCATTTGTTCTCCAGGTGAATTTTGACCTTTGACAGTTTAGTGAGTAATGACAAGTCAGGCCTTTTCTATTCACTAAATGGGATATTGTAGAGGAAGAGGATATGCTCGTGACTGCGGATAAAATGAATGCTCTTCTCAACTGCCTTGGAACTCAGCGGTTGAGTTCAGTGTTGTCGCTACTCCATGCTTGAATTCTTTACACATGAATGTCTGCGGTATTTATGCCTACTTTTATGTGCCACCTAATCAATGCTGTCTACTCCACTTTAACTGTGTCGGATCCGAAGTGGTCTACAGTCCAGTTGTCGAAGTCTACCGCCGTACGTTGGCCCTCACATAAGACCTGTGAATTTGAAGGTCTCTGTTCTACTTGATTGTTGGAATTCAGCAGACGATGGGACTGTACAATCTTTACTTACAAAAATAGCAACTCTCATGCTGGTGCAGATCGGTTGCCTTTAAATAATTGACTCAATTTGCTGCCTCTTGCAATGGACTCAACAGTAGTATTTATTAACTCATTTAAGCGTTCCAATTTATAGCAGCTTTGCTGACTGTTTGGTGTCGTGCTGTTCTTCAGGTCAATGATATTAGGCAATTGAGCGCTTAAATTATGCCAAATCATCAGTCAGGCGGCCTAGAGACCCTCTCTTTCCCTTTGCATTTGCGGACTGCAATTTTCGATCATTTAAATGACATTAGCTAATTTTAAATGTGAATAAACCTAATGTCTCATTCGTATGTGGTTCACTTATCCACTTCTTTTGCTTGGTGAATTTTGAAACTCCTTAAGTTGCCCAGGCACTTGCTCTAGTATCCTGTCAAATTTCAATCTGGGCGCTTAATCAACGAGACTGGGATACAGACGCCTTTATCCGTGGATAAGAGAGCTGTGGATTAGGGTATCTAGCGATCACCTAGCTGGTGAGGATCGGTGGGGGCGTGGAGCTATCTCTTCTTCGCATGTTTCATGCCTTAGCATTGACTTTGACCTTGCAGTAAGCATCTAGTCGCAATGTCAGGTCATAAGAGGAGACTGAGTGGGGGAGTGTGACCTCTAGGTTGACTGTATAAATACTAAATTCTAGACAATCAGAACACTTCGGGTGGGGAGTGGTGTGTACAAGATGCAACTGTGTGCTTGCTGGTTGACGGAAGAACTCCTGTTCTTTTGGTTTTGTCTTTTTCTAGTTCAAGGCCACTTGTGAAACTGGTACAGAGTTCATCGGGACCGTATTCCAGACCTCAATGCCAGGTCGGAAGTTGATGGTGGAGTTTGATCCGGCCGATTTTGGTGATGCAAACAGTTTCGAGATTACCGTCACTCCATTTTGTAGGTTTGCACCCGATGACTAATTTGCTGCTCTTCGAGCTACTTATATTTGAAATGCTGCAACGGACAATCGTCGGCGGTTCATTTTCGTGTCTTTTGACAGGCCTTTATTTCTGTCCCCTTCAGTCCCTTCGATCAAATGCTATTGCACTGCTCACCGTGCCACAGATTGATCTGCCATTCAACCACCTTCACTGCCCATTGCTGATTGAGTGTAAAGTAGACGTTTCTCGTTAATCAATCCTATCAACGTAGTAGTTTTATTTGGCACCATTTGTGTCTGTTCCACGAATCTTGTCGATCTTGAGGTCGACAACTGCTGATCCACCTACCGAGCCATCAGCATTAGTAGATGTCACGTCTTCAGGCGGGTCAGTTATTCAAACGTGTCTACTCCGTGAATCGTCCTTCTCCCTATTGTTTTGGACGATATGCATGCTTGCCCCTGTTTTCATAAATGTCGAGACTGATAATTTATTGCCAACCTTTTTTGGTGATGCTGTGGTTAATGCATTCCCTTCTTTATGCGAATAGGTTATTCCTTTGTGACTGCTAAAAGGCACGTATTCCAATTTAAACAAATTTGTATGCTACTGATAAAATCGACTTACATCGTATTTCTCTCGTTTTTTTTTCTTTTTTTTAGAACTTAAGCAATGATCATGATAGTGCCGTCTCGAGAACTTGTTAATGTTAAAGATGAAGAGCATACCTTAGTGGAAGATCGCACAGACGCGATGATTCCAATTAGGATCAAGTTCCTCACTTGCGAGCATTTGTTGATATGCGAATCGCTATTTGACACTTTTTAAGTATCAACCTCTTAAACCACTCCACTTTGCAGCTGTAATTACGAACCTGTGCCTCTTGAATACCACTAAAACGCTGAGATCCCCTTCCAGCAATGTGTGCACGCGTTCGTCTTCTATCCCCTCGTCACGTCACTGTTTTCGATGATTCATCCAACTTTGATTGGTGCCGTGTTGTTCAACTGTTTGTTCGCTTGCTGTAGATGGGAACAGCTGTGGATTTTTGAGGGTCGAATGGCACAAAGATTCTTCTCTCCATTTAACCCCTCGATGGTAGCACAACAACAAGTCCTTGTAGAACGCGCCTGTTCAGTGTGGGAAGTGCGTAGTCTCGAGTTTTTTCCTGAGATCGCGAAAAGCTCTGCCAACGTGGTTTAAAATTAATCATGGATTTGCAGAAGAACTGGGAGATCATTGGCACAATTTTATCCAAGTTCGCCTAAATGTCTAAAAATAAGGCTTCATTCGTCCTATCAAAGCATTCATTTGTTTGTTCCAGTAAATAAACAATGTCGAATCGCCGCCTCGGAACTGGAACATGCAATGTTGATAGTTCGCCACCACTCATGGGAATGAGTTTGCACTTTCACTAGAACAACTTCCGCATTTATTTGTGCACCTCATTGCGTTCGTATATTCGCAAATGAGAACAGAAAGACTAGAATTTCCTCGTAAACAAAGTAGGTCGTATCTTCTTCGGCTCTAGGTGTTCGAACCACTTATAACATCGGAGTAATATTACTAGATTACCCACGTTGGGTGTGGCACTGGGGCTACAGTCAATGTTGCATGACATGTAAACACCTCACAGAAGACTGCTCTCCCTACTTACCTCAATTCAGTAGAATCCCAAGTCCACCTGCATAGCTTAACCCTCTACCGTTTGCCTATTATTTTACTTCTTTTAAACAAACTTTACTCTTTTCTTATGCACCACAAATACAGCTTTTATTTTGTTGCTTTACAGTTTTGGGGAACACATTCAGTTGTCCGGCTGAGCACTTTCGTTGTTTCAACTCCCGCGATCACTGCATTCCGAACAGCATAACCTGTGACGGTGTTGACAACTGTTTTGATGGTTCCGACGAATCAAACTATCTCTGTGGGTCTTCTTTATCCGTGCAATGGGCATATTTTTCACTCACCCTTTTTTATTACCGCTCTGATTGCTGAGCGCATTGTAGGCACTGGTCGAATCGGCAACTTGCCGTTACCGCTCTTCATCATCCTCGTTCTTGGTAGGTTGTAGGAAGTTTTTCTTCTTTTTACTTATTTTGATGTAATTTTCTTAATCTAATTCCGGTTGATGGTCCTACTTTCACTCTGTTTTCGATGGTAGCCATCGAGAGCGATGTTGACTTAACATTTTTTTTATTTTCTCCCTTTTTCGCTTTATCTGTCTATTCTTGCAACGACTTTAATTGCTAAACCAGTCTTAAGACGTTTCAGTCCGCTGAGTCTTGTGGCAGCTATCTGTGCTTGTCCATATCTCAATGAGCTTTTATTCAGGATCAAGGAAAGATATAGTAGCAAACTGTATTCCCAAAGAATTTTGATCTGTGGCGATAAAATCACACAGAGGTAAAGATGTCATGGCGCCCCTTGGTATAGTCGCGTTGAAGCAGGCAAAGGATGGTACAGAAATGCGTCGATACTTGCCTATGATGTCGGGCAAGCTGATAGGTGATGGCATGCGAGATGGTTGGAAGGCAGTTCAATTTGTTTCTGCATTAGTCATCAGCGTGCCGAGCTTACAACACGGGGCGTCGAGCCTTTTCTACTTCAGCTTCCTAATTGGCTTGTGTGGTTCTGCTAACGAGGGTGACACTTTCTACCTCTAAACTGTGTCGCATTTCTATGGCGTGGACCACTTCACTTCCAACAGAAGGCGTCCAGGTGTTGAGCCTCAATCAGCACTCACATATAATCTGGAACTGACAATTTGATGGAGTCGAGGAAGTTTGACGCAATACTTAACGTTGTGAGGATTGACAGTGGCCTATGCTCACTTCCATCCTTCATTTTAGTGGAATCGTCCTTTCTTAATTACTGACTGGAACTTCTTCTGGCACCAGACTCCAAAAATGTGAGGTTGAAGGGAGTTGGCGAGGACATGTGATAGTGCGGTAGAAAGAAGGAGCGATTAGGGTGAAAGCGTTAGAACAAAAAATGAAATACATTGTAAAATACTTGTGACCTGTGAAATATGATGCCATTTGTTTTTTTTTGCATAATAACTGTGGTATTTGGCACGTCGCCTTAAAGCATCGCATACGTGCTACGTTTCAATGGCCTTTTTCCAGCGTGCCAACCATATGAAAACACGTTTACCCCATGCTGCTGGGTGAATTCTGATTGGTCAGGTTCTCGTACATCTCCGATTGGTGGGCGTGTTGGGGGCGCCTCTCATTGGCATTCGCCACCCCACTTAGCTGGGTTGAAAATGTACTGTTCCAAAATTCATGGCTTAAACGATGGAGAATAGGCGAAAATGGTAGAAATATGTAGTTTGGGCGTTTAAAGCTATATTTCGCGCTAAGTTGAGCGTAGCCTCATGGAGCTAACAGAGGTGCTCAAATTGAAGCAAAAGTTTACCTAATTTAGAGCTAATTTGTTAAAAGCGTGATCAAATGCATCCATGGTGATCTCCTCTTTTTTATCATGGAGACTGCCACGGGTATCACTAAGTTTGCTGTCGTTGAATCCACCAAAATGGCCAAATGAATGGAAACACTTGGATCGCTAATACATGATTCGATGGGTCTTCTATCAAATGTTCCACTTTCTGGAGGAAGTGTTATTCTTAACTTTGTCCACTTCACAGTAGAATACGTTGAAAGCGAGCAAAGAACGAAATTTCTTCACTACATTGTCAAGTTGTCTGATAGAGCCTTACGAAGCATGGAAAAGGGGTAGGTGAATGCAAAACTTCTCTTTCAGTGGCGATTCTCGTCCTTCTGGGACTGATTACTGGATTGGCAATTTACCTTCGCAGAAGACATTTCCAGAAGCAGAGAGAAAGACCCGAGTAAGTTGAATGCACCGAGAGGTGGAAAGGTCACTGAGAAGTTAGCAATCGGTGGCAAAGGAAGGAAAATGATTTTGCCCTCCAGTTTGATTAGTTGATGCTTTTTTGTAGCACTTCGCCACCGCCTGTCTATTGCAAAGTCTGTGGGATGTGGAGATGAAGGTGGTGCTGATAAATCTATGCTTCCTTTCAGGTGCATCGATATGAACATAATCCAGGGCCAATCGACAGCTCAAGAACGTGAGAGACTCAATGAATGTTCTTTGAATGTATTTATTTGTCCCCATTTCATCATGTATCAATGCATCCCTTTTAGCCCTGATGCCTCCACCACCGCCTCCAACGCAGACGCATTGACCGCTGTCCGTCTTTGCCTGTCCACCTTCTTTGCAGCTCATCGTCTTTCTTACCGCCTTAATTATTTTCACACTTGTTCTTATGTCACATGTACACAAGTTTGCTTTTTCGCCTGCAGTCACGTAGCTTTTTGTGGATTTTGGAGGTGACAAAACGAAGATAGTTGGGAATCTCAATCCGTCGTTTTTTCTTCCTACTTTCGTGATAAAGCGTTGTTTTTTTTTTGTTTGGGAAGACCGTAAATAACTGTCAAAGTCCTCAAAGTATTTCAAGCCCACCGGCCCATTCTAACTTCGTCTGATGAACTCATCTAGGTTAACAAGCACGTGCTTGTGCATGCGTGGGCGCCGTTGTCAACCTCAAAGGGGCGACTCACGCACATTCGGCGCGCTTTGTGTCGTTCTGATCAGCCTTGGTTCTGCATTGTCTTCGGGGCTTCTTGACTAATCAGGAAGAAGTCAACGTCAAAAGTGGTTGTCAGATCGGAGAAAAAAGGGAGTCGTGCGGATTCGTGCACCACCACTATTTGCATAATTTTAGATTAGTGCGACATTCATCTGAGCCTATCCAGCCATATTTTATTCGGCCATGTGTTTAACATCTCTTCAATTGTGGGTCGATGCCTCTCTCACAACATCAAACGTGACAGCTTTTGGGGGCCTCAAAGCCTCTAGTTTCAGCGACTCCGTCATTGTGCCTTCTTAGCTCCTCTTTGCTCACTTCTCTTCCCTCTCCACACAGACACAAGGAAACTACGTAAAAATATTTGGTAAGACAGTAAGGCTCATTGCAAAGGGTTTGACTACAGTAAACAATAGGAGGCAGTAAGATCTGATGCTTGCAAAGTAAACGGATCAGAGGAATTGTGAAATTTCCGATACACACTGATATGTCGTAAAACGCTTTTCGAGGTGAATTGAAGCCAGAAGGCAGAGGCACCGTCCCACCCTCTACCATCCCCTTGCTCTTTGTGTGTCTTCAAGGTCATTTCATTGCAATTTTATATCTCAGACAATCACGTGCTCGAGCACATATTAACACCAGCTAAATGCGAGACAGAAGTGTGACAGGAACCGGTGTGAGAAGAGGCTGGAGGGCCACACCCACATCCATCCTAGCAAATCTACCGCCTACTGGTCCTCCTGTCAGGACAACACAAGCGTTTGTGCATTTTAAGCGCACCCTCAATCCAACCACTCAATCGAGTTGTCTAGACCAGGTGTGATGCATTCATCCTTGCAGTCGCGCTCCACCAATACGTCGATGACCAAGGCCCAACTGAGGTGACACTTTGGAGACGCCCTAGAGAAGTTAATTCTACCAAAATTTCAGGAATGCAATCAAATCACGTGTTTGTTTCGTTTCTCTCAAATCAAAGGAACAACGCAGGACCAGTGGTTTGTGAGTTTGCGTGTGTGTGAAAGGACCGGATGTCAGGCGTAGGAGGCACCTTGGATAGGCAAGTCAAACAGTCGACCGGTGGGTAATTGATAGGCGTCTGTAGAAGTCATTGGATTGATCGCAAGAGAGACGGTTTCCTTCTTCCTTCTCCTCTCTACGCTCCACCGCTCGAAGAGGTGTTGCGAAACGTTAAAAGGGTGAACGAGGAGGTGAAGGAGGTGGAAATACCAAAAAATGATTGAAATTGGAAGTCAATGGAATAGAAGTTTTAATCGACAAGAGGCGGGGATATGGGTGGCTAGGCGAGAGGAAAGTAGGTTCGAAAGAGACCTCACAAAGCCTCAGTAAATAGGAGGAAATTACATGGTAACGTGCTCTACACCATTCTGAACAATAAATTCAGTGGGTAAGTGAGTGGGAGGCTTCAACGCCACGGTTCGTACAGGTGAATGTCCTTCTCCAAAGTGGCTATCAGTCGGTCCTTATCGACCATCTCTTTTCGCAATCGTTGGATCTCCCTCCTCTGCTCTAAAAATGCTTCCAGCAGCTGGAAAAGAAGGAAGACAATGCATAGCGAGGAGGCAAGACAGCCATTCTGAACATTCAAAACAAAACGGCACTCCAAATTCTTTAGCTCCCGCATGACTTGTCACCATTGCTCTTCTATGTTTGGCATCAGTCAGTGTGAATCGCTTCCATAAGTAAATTTGGGTGTTATTTCTCAATAAGCTCCAGTAAATATGAAATGGAAACTCGACCCTGTATGATTCCCTTCTAGTTTGAAACTAGGTGATCCATTGGGACGAAGCTTAACTCCTCCCTTACCTTCTGATAGTCCTGAGGGAGATTGGTTATCTGTTCGCCTTTTCGTGCAACATGGAAGGCCTGTGAAAAGATAGTAAAAAAGAAGACAGCACTTAGTAACAGAGTTTCATGCTGCCTCGCATTCAGCGGGCTTAAAGACATTCCACAGATGATCTGAGGCATCAAATCATGCTGGTCATGGAGGCATGCATCTGTAGAATCACTCATCAGCAATCCACATAGGCAAAGGGTGCTCTTACGGAATTGGCAGCGTTTCGTCTGCTCTCAGAATCCAACTCTCCTCTTCGTAATGTGGAATACTAGGGGAGGAAAGAAGAGGAGAAACTCCTTCTTCATGGCACTTGTTAACCACTTTCAATCTACTAACCGGCCAGTTAATCAATGCAAGACGAGGACAAGGTACTTCAAGATTAAATCGAGTTATGTGAAAGGTAATTTTCAAGAATCATTGACCTTCAACATGCCCTTAAACGTTTTCGCATTAAGAAACTTTTCGAAGGCAAATTATTTGCTGCTGGCTTAAGAGGAGATGTGGTTACTAGGGTCAACCAGCCTACCCCTTTGCCGAGGGAGTCATTGTAGGAATCGGAGAAGTTGGAGCTGGAGCCATGGTACACTCCGTCATGGTTTATCAACCTGGGCAGGCTGCCTCCATTAGTCAGAATCGAAGAGGCCGATTGTGATCGGTTCGCAGCACTGCCATGCTGGTCAGCATTTGTTGGTCGGACAACAGACCTTGACACATGCTGAGTTGGTCCAGGATTGGCTGATTGCTGATGAGGATGGTGTTGGCGTCTGGACAGAGAGGTTGTGCTGTTGTGTGTCGAGCTGTTTTTCAACGTCATCTCCTCCACTTGTCGGATTATCTCTCGCACTGATGGAAGCACCAAAGCCTCCTCATCCTCACCCTGTTTTGTTTTTAGAAAGCATTTTAAAAAGAATGTATTTCATTCGAAGTTGGGTTGATGGTGATAAGCCTTTTAGCAAGGCCAACTCACTCCTCTCCCTCCTCTCACCTTCTTGCCTCCTTAGGGTAGCAGATTAATTGATTAAGCGAAAACGTAGTTTAAATGACGACCATTTCAGAAAGAGAGGGGTCAAAGTGCAAAACACCTTTACTTCGTAATTATTAGCTGAGCTTGTGTGTTTGTGGATGCTGACTGAAGTGTGAATGATTAAAAGGATTTAGGCATAGTTACGCTCACACCTTCTACGAAAATGGCCGCGGAGACCATCTTGTTGGGCATTTGGAGATGCCATAGAGTGTAAAGGCTCATCTATTTGAGATTTTACTCAGCATTGACACCACTGACTGACTAACTTGGTGGCAAAGGGAAGAAGTGGTCTGTTGTTGCTAACTTCAAACAGTCTTCCTATTATCTCACACCGAGTTGTTGACGAGCTCACAAGTGTTTTCGAGGTCCCGTGCTTCGGAAATGTCATTGACTTGTGTTTCTTAAATTGTGGAATTGCAAGTGCGATGGTAGTTTTACTTAAAAGAATTAAGTAGAGCAGTTTCAATTCCAAATTATTCAACGCTAGTCCAAAGATGGACCGCAATATCTCGTCTTTCAACGGTGAATCATGTTGAACACCATATTCCTTAAACCCGAAAGACCTAATTTTGTAGGAGGAGGGAGTAGATTGTCTTCTCGCGAACGATGGATATAAAACTCAAAACATTTCCAAAGGAAATCAATTTCCTTGACACTTTAAGTCGTTTTTAGATCATTGGTGGCCTCAAACCGGATGGATAAATGCTTAACTAGAAATAAGAACTTTAAGCAAGACTGTCATTTTGCTCACCGACTAAATTGGGGGTGTCGACACCAAACAACTAAGCTTGTTAGCAAACAATGAAATCTAAGACTCCAATTGTACCTGAGGTCCGTCCACGGAAGAGGAGGCTTTGGGATTTCTTCTGATTACCTGCGGTGGAACTGGTGCAGTCTGCGGAAGAATGATCTGTTCCGAGCGAACGCGGTCTTCAAAGGTACTACCACCTCCATTTCCTACAGATGCAACTCTGAAGGCCTGTCGTGGACTGCTTGGAGGTCCACTAGTGGGACTCGTCTGCTCACTTCGGCTACGAACTTGAATCTTCACTGTACCTGCCTTACGACCCGAAACGTAGAACTGCGGCAATAGCGAATTCGGTTGCTGAAACAGGTAAAATTAAGGGCATTAAGGATTGGTATTGTAAATCACGGGTTTCTACCAAAGTGTTAGGTGATTCTCATGATTAGGTATGCCTTACCTTGTGCCATCGCATCTCCTAACACTCGAACTTTTGTAGATGCACCCATTTGGTGGTGCATTCTTTGAAATTGTCACCCGATTTTGTGTCAGAAAATACCCACATTTTGTTGAAGCTTAGGCAAACAAGTATTTCTCTCACTTTAGCTTATTGTTCGATTATCTTTGGAAAATGTGATTTAGCGATCAGGCTGTGACAAGTATCAGTAACGCATTCACCTTTATTTTATCAGTAGAAAAATCCGCACTACAAAGCCTCCCCCACAAATTTCGCTTTAATCAAATCTAGAGATAGAAGGAAGGAAGGGGCTATTGCTGTCCAAAAGCAAAAACACCTGTGTGCCAATCTGTAAGAGATGACAGGCGCCCAAATAGACGTAGTTAAGACGCATTACTATTTTTGGTTCAGCCCCAGAGTTCAATAACACTGTGAGGAGCCTAAGCGACAAGGGGAAATAGACAGATCCGATGTTAAGGTGAAAAAAATAATTATACATTTTAAGAAGGCGACATGTAAGAAAATGCATGATTGGACTACTCCACGTAGAATGCGTACTAAGATCTAAAAAAACATTTCGTCTCATGTTGTTATTTGTTTCCGTTTCTCACTGAGGATTAGGGAAATGTCGATGCCTGCTTTGAGAAATCAAATGAAGAGAATATAATTACTGCGTTTCTACTTTTAGCCACGTAATGCTTTGTTTATGTGATTGCCTGACGCTCAGAGGTCACTTTTAAGATTTTTCTTGCCCTTGTACTCGTGGGCTGGCCTTCGGGCCATGGTCAGGTCCATTTGCTCTGTTCCCTTCGGAATACATGTACCCAGTCTCACTCATTGTCTTCTTTCGCCCTATGGGAAGTCTTGCGGCGCTACAATCCAAATCAAGGATTGCAAAGTAAATGAACAACACTTACACCACCTCTAATTAGACTAGCAAAGTGGTTTTACGAAAAAAAACTAGCAAAAAATTTTATGGCTGTCTGGAATTGTCCCCTGAAAATTAGTCCATAAGCATGCTGCACTTTATTTAGTCAAATCAAATGATGTGGTAAGGTTATTGGCAAGAATTTAAGTGCATAAGAAAGCGGTCAAATGTGCTTTTTCAGAATGTATGTCCACAGGGTGCCCGATTTACTATTCTTTATTCCCCTGAATGATGAGTGTAATTTCCTGTGCGGTAGTGGTTGCAATTAAGCCATCCTTTCATGCATGCCTCGGGTATTACTGGCACGAGGCCCGTAGGTGACGAGGTTGTGAGATGCGTCTTAAGGTTGCATTCGGTGATGTGTGTGGGGTTAAGCAAAGTTTTCCATATGAAAAGTATTTCAATATACTTCGGTAAGAAGCGTAAATGATAAAATATAAGATCTTCACAAATAAAGATACCTTTAAAGTGAGCAAAGGTTTCAGGTATTTTATGCAACATGCGGGTATAAGCGAAAATGAAGTGGGGATTCACACTTATGATCTCTGTAAAGGTCTTAATTTCTCCAAACATGTGACCTTCAAAAATGGAAAACCTCAGTAAGTCATTCCTTCGCTCGACAATCATTTCCTTAACAAATCTAAACAAGCAGAACTAAGAAAATACTCGAATGGGGTTTACGACAAAACTCTAGGCAATCAACAACAGTCGAATGTAGAGGGAAGTTTTGGTAGTGACAAACTAGGGCAACCTACGGGCATTGTCAGCCTCTCTGCCTTGCATAGGTGGACTGAGAGGTAATCTGACCCTTGGTCAGTATTTCTAAACCATTGGCACCCTACACAACATCACAGATGATCCCACAAGGCAGCACACACGCACGCACCTGTCGAAGCAGTCATTGGCTGATCATTGTGTGCCCGTGAAGGTGTGACTCCCCATCTCTTCGGAGGATAGGACAGTTCCAACAATAGCACAAATACGCTATTCAAAGTCAATACTTCGGTCATTAGCTTAAACACGCATCCTCAGTCCAATATCATTTTGAGAGAAATTGGGAAACATTAATAACATCGCCATAAATAAATGAGTTCTTAATCAACACTGATGTAGAAAAGTATTCCAAACGTAGACTAAAATAATGGTCGACAATCTACTCCTCCAAAGCAGTTGGGGTCACAGCGATGGTGAAAGTGATAGCATCTTCTTTTCTGGGTAGCGTTCACTCGATCTGGTGGAAGTGTTGGGTGTCGGTGTTGTATCGCAGCCAAAAGGCAATTGCATCCCAACGATCTCAACTCTCATCCCTGAGCCACGTCAGACAAGTGGCAGGCATACATAAAAGAGGGTCGGTCAAACGCATACACTATTGTTACCGTCCTTAAGCATAGACACGAATTGCTCTGAAGGAGTGAAAAAGTTTGAATGTTTTAGTTATGCTCGATTTTTATTTATGCCACAACTGAAGGCTCTACGCATCGCCACTTGTCTTTACAACATCATCTGATCCGGCGGACGCTCTTCGCTCTGGGCGCCTTAACGTGAGCTTGTGCGATATTCGCAGACCAAAGTTAAAAGTTATGGAAAATGTCGTTTTGCGCCTCACGCCTCCACAAAACTACAACTTTTTTAACAATTCTTTTTTCCTGTTATGTTATGCAAAAAACTAATGCAATTATTCTCTAAATGATGCTTTGAGAGAGAGAGAGAGAGAGAGGTAGAGACGCAGCTCAAAACCTCCTTCACGAGGAGGAGTGAGACCACGCAATTCTCCCTCCTCCACTGCTTTATTATCGGTTCTCGTTCCTTATTGTTTTTTTTTTATTTCAAACTAATCGGTTCTCTTATGCAATGCGGAGGTGTTGGTTGCGAGTGGAGGAACGGCAAAGTCCCTACAACTAACCACTGTTTGTCAACCCAAAAAAAAATATTTGCTATGAAATCAAAAAAAGCTCTTGCTTTTACCTATGAAAAAATCGCTTCATTAACTACAAGTTGAGGTTCAGTGCAATTCATTGCTTCCCGCCTTAACAACTATGTAATTCCGGGAAGAGCCACCTAAATTTCAAAGGAATTCTCTTTTGTCCAAAAATATTAAAATGCCACTAAAAGTGTCCTTTTCAAGACTGGAACTAGAAGAGCCTCTCAAGTGCAAACAGCCAAGTAAGGAGACATGCCTGAGGTTTGCCCTCCAGGTAGGTCATGTCAAGGGCGTTGTCGGATGGAAAACGCTTCTGGCTGATAGTTGTGCCGTAGAGGGTCTGCAGACGTCGGAAACTTGGACCTGCAAACAAACGGAACACTATGCCACGCAAATTGATGACAGTTAAATAGGCAATGGATTAAAGAAATTTCAAGCCCAAACAACTGTTAGGAGGAGGAGGGCATGCAAAGGCCCACAAATAGTTCCACTGACTGCGTGCATCGGTGGAGGTGGAGATTTTGTCTATTTTTGGTCTCGCTGTTTACGCCGACTTGCCAAAACACGTCAAAGCGATGTGCGTAGATAGTTTTTTGGCCCTACGGTAAGGCGCGCTTTCTCCTCCATTTTTCTCCTTTCATAACTTATAGGGCAAAACGCGTTGGCAGTGATTAGAGTTTGTCTGCTTTGCAAGTCGAGTTAGACTTTGCGATAGAGTGAGAGGTTTTTTGGTTAAATTTGTGCAATCAGTAGAGGTGAAGGGCGGAACTACGGACGGCAATCTGTCAGATTCTTCGCTTCGTTGGTAAAATTGCTCGAAAAATAATGTAGTAAATTTAGAAAGTCGTCCCAGCCTTGACACTCATACTCCAAAATTGTTGTGCCAAGCAATCTTCCTTACAGTTAATCAAGAAGGTGATGGAAATGTTGAAAGACTGACATATGCCAAGAGAGAACATAAAAAAGAAAATAAACTAAGAAGACAGATGCTCCTCTGTCGCGTGGCTTAAATTGCCTGCGGAGTAACACGACCCGTCCGTCCTTCGGGCATTAACCTCTAAGAGGCACGTGCCACCTCATAACACTTCTTCTTCGAGCCACAAAAAAGTTTTTAGAATGATGGGGAAAAGGTCAAACCGTTGGGTTTTCTGCTCTTGCCGATACAAAAGTGATCGAAGCGAAGTTGTGTGTCACTGATAAGCAAGCAAAACATTCTACTTAAAAAATATAAGTAAAATGTAATAAATTTTACTTTTAGATTGAATTAAAGCTACTTAAAAGATTTAGCATTTTGACAGCAGTAGTAAAATAACCAGCCCGTAAACCGTTGCATTTAAGGCACATCCTCAACTTACTCTACGGAAATCTCGGTAAAATGTGCCTGGAAAGAAACGTTTTTACTTGACACACTGCCCAACTACATGTTTTTAATCTGTCTGACTTCTGACAGGGAAGAGTCGACGGAAATGACCAAAGGGCAAAGGAGCAGTGTGTGAAGTTTAGGCGCTTTCAAAGGTGGAAGCAGAAATGACGGCGAGTTGTTTTAAAACCTACAAGAAGGGGGGAGTAAACAAGCAAGTGCTACAGCCCACCTTTTACTCATTCTCGGGACAGCTGTTTCGCCTGTTCAGATGTGATGGTCAAAAGATGGGCGTAATTAATGTACCACAGTTGGATGCTTTTGTGGGCATAGGAAAATGCACATTTTAGTCTACCGTGAACTGTCTTCTATCTGCACTTGGCAAAAAATGTCAGAATCTCCAGCCGAAAAGGACATAGTGCTTAAAGTTGTTCCCAGGTGGGGATGCCGTTTGTCTGTCAAGACATTTTGATGGCTCGGCAAATCCCAATTCATGTCGCATCTTGCAGCTGGGAAAAAGGTTGCGCGGCTATGCTTTAACCCAACTAACAGTCGATTCGCGAGTACCCAGAGTTTAGTTTTAAAGAAAATTTTATCTAATTTGGTTGCTGTTGATCCACAACCTCGAAGTCACATATGCGTTGAGTCACCCACATAATAAAAAAATTATTGAATTTTTTAAACATAGGCAGTAATTCATGATAGACGGCACGAATTTGCTTTTTTTCTGAGTTAGGTCAAAATCATAAAGCTAAAAAGATCAGTTTGAGTTAGACGACACTGCGATGGGAGGGAGTGGGGAGTGGTGCCCTTGAACGTTGGCTCGAGTCCTCATTTTTTTCAGTGAAGTGCCAAAAATGCTGTCAGAAATGTATAGAGAAGTTCACTTCCATTATCGTCGCCCTTCAGCCGAGATGCTCCAATGTATCTACATTTTTTCTTATCTTCAATTTTACCATACATTTCTGATTATACAATTGAACAAGTTTTTCCACCTCCCTAATGCAAACACATGAGAGAGAAAAATTTGTGAAAAGATAGCCACACCTACTTCGGTTTGGAGTGCATGTCGACCGCACCTCTTCGAAGTGCGGTCATCGCCGCCCACGCCACCGGCGGAGTGTCCACTTTTCCGACATAGACACTCTCCGCGCGGTCTCCTTACAACTCTTCTCCTATCATTTTATGGCCAATTCTTTGCTCGAAATCAGTGAACACTTGTTTTTCAATTTGATGTCGAGTTTGACAGTTGAGGTGGATGAAATGAAGAGATCGCAAAAAGGGAACATTCAAAGGCCTTTTAGAAAGTCCTCTCAAACACCTTCGTTCACAGTGTGGACTAAAGAAAAAAGTGGCTTCATGTCCTCTTTGGAGGCATGAGGAGGAAAAGTGAAACGCACCTCCGCGATAGCTGCTGCCCTCAGTAGCCCGCAGTGTTCCGTTAGGATCTGGATCCAGTCGCACCGTAGACGCTGTATTAATTGACCTCAAGGGCTGCTCGGACGAACTTGTAGTTGTCGTCGGTAGCACCAATTCCGATCGGTGATGTGGTCTGGAAGTCAGAGCTGCTGTGGCAGTGCTTGTTGTGGCTATTCTACGCTGATTCATCGGTGTTATGTAATCCGCATTAACTGAGGCATTCTTCAAAATCGGTCGTTTCTCCCTCGATCGCGGTGAGTTCTGGAACCGACCTTGCAATTCCTCAATCACCGAGTTGGGGCTTGGCTGTTCTGTGGATCGGATTGATGTTCGGGCATTTGTTGGACTGGTCACAGTGGAGATGGAGCCCGAAGAATAATCATTGAACCCGCCGCCGCCGCTGCCGCCGCCGGGCACAACACGCGATGCCACTGATGAGTTGCCACGGTAATCCATTATCTGGAGAATCAACCAAAGGAATGGTTGTGAATGATGGGAAATGTACAAACCCCACGGCGTGTGTGTGTGTGTATGTATGGGCAGAGGTAAGGGTAGGAAAAGCGAGGGAATCGATCACTTCGCCGTCCACTGATTGGTCAAGTTTGTGGATGTGTCTCGGTGGGTGTGTGCGTGTATGCGGTGAACGCAAACTGATGCGTCATCGGTGGTGCACGCAAAAGACTGCGTTCAGGACCTGCTCTCCTTCCACCCTGTAGGAAATGTCATTAAATTCATCCTCTACTCTGTGCCGCTTCCCTCACCCCAGAGGGTAAAAAACACATGTAACTACCATCACTTGTTGGAACGGTTATGCCCAATATCTACGCGCAGAGGTCAAAGGGTCAGCAGCCTTTAGAGGCATGAGGGATTGGATGGTCAGACCCTGTGGCATTCCAAATTAAAAGACAAAAAAATGGAACCCATGCACAAATCCTCTTTCTTTTGACAGCGTTTAGTCTGCAATTTTGCAGGACTTCATTTGCCCAAGGTAGAGCGGATAATTTGTGCCAACTTTGAGCCTCTTGTTGGGACATAAGAAGGGCTGATCAAGGTCTGAATGGATGAAGGGCTACGGAGGTGTTCCGAACCCAAACCTTAACATTTCGTTCATTTCATCCACACCGCAAAAAAATTTTCACAAATAGCACGTCATTTTGCACTTCTTTACTGCCTTAAATTTGGGCTCTAAAAAGTTTCCGCATTTGTTCAGATGGTGGCGAACAAGAGTTGGAGGTGCTGTTTTTTGTTCCCGCACCACTGCTGTGGCTGCTTTTAAGTCGACACTGGCTCCGGCCCTCCTGTCTGTTGGCAACGGACTTGGCGCATGCAATTTGCCCAAATTTTGGCCCCAAACCGCAGACACTCAACAGGTTGTCCACAAGATCTGCCAGGAGACAAATGTCATGCAATGATGTCATGGTTTCCAACAATCCTCTTGTAATACCACTTTCTGGAATGTTGAGGGAGGAAGGAAGTGAATCATTTGGTGAAGTAATAGGAGGCGCGCCAACTTTATTTACCGTCTTCTGCAGCCTTTTCATGACTCCTCAGATCAACGTTTGGATGGGATATTTTGAAGTTGTTTGCCAAAATCTGTTTTGGGGAGCAGTTTACGTCTTCATACTGTCTTCCACTGTCCCCTCAATCAGGGGCAGCGGACAACAAAGTCACAATAGAACGCAGGCGATCGTGGAGAAGAAATGCCAACTAGCACTTTAATCACTGCTACGACTGGTCACTTTGATGTTACCGCAAGCTCTCTTTCAATCCAGTTGATGATCATCTGGAAGGACTACTGCTTGTGTGTATAGTTATGTCGGGCCCACGTGACATCCGCATCGATGGAGTTCGGCAATGTGGAGGCACAGCAGTCCAAACGCCTCAACATGTCTGTCAATGGGCGATTTGTAATGCGCTTGACAGTGTAGGATGGAAATTTCTCAACAAGTTGGATGGTGAGTCTCTGTTGCTCTCCAGCATCATTCCACTGGCGAAAGGCATAATTTGTGCAACGTCCTACGAAAAGCAGAACTTCCATCCAACTGGAGCTGTTAATTTCACACCTAGGATGGGTAGATGTCAAATGTCACTGCTTAATTTTTGTCGTTTTGACGGGTTAGTCTTTCAAAGGCTGAACAACAAATTGGTTGCCGTTCAAGCAACGGTAATCTCGCTTCGTGGCTAAGCTAGGACTTGATCAGTCTCACTGACAGTTGACATTTGATGACATGAGTGCGATCCATTCAATGCGTCAAACCGATGGGATCACTCAACTACTCGATCATGGGCTTTAAGTTGATGCCAGGGTTTGGTTTACTGCCAGACCGCATGTGAGGAAGAAAAGTTTCAGTTTCGAAATTCACGGATGAGGCAAGCATTTTCAGCCCTTTGCCAAATGGCCAGAACGTAAATGTGGATTTGTGCAAAACGACGAGGCACAATGACTGCCTCTCTACGCCATTTTACCTTTGGGTTCTGTGGGGCAATTAGCGCTGGGGATAAAGGGGCGGACTAGAAGCTGTACTAATAACTCTGAAGGCTGGTTACCGCAACTTTTGCTGTCGAATGAATCATCGCGGTCCTCTGAGTGCGTGCGTGTGTTACTACACAGGGAAAGGAGCAGCTGCGAATTTTTTGTGCATTGGTCCTGACACTCCGTGACTTTTTAGCCATGACAATTGTAATACTGCGGATTATGTGTTTGCAGTTACCTATCCTAAGGAAGAACTGCAAAGTCCGTGATACTCTTTCCATGCAATCTGTTTTGAACAGGCGACCACAGCCACACTTTATTAAAACGATTATGAGATAATCCCAACAGCATTTCCTTTGGTCCTCTTTCATTCCGACTTTGAAAATGCTTAATCGCGGTCAACAGCACATGTTCAGATGCTCCTAGAAACACACTTCGTCAAGTACGCTTAAGGAGCAAATAGGGGGTCCAAACTTAAAGAGAGTTTGAAAATGTAATGGTAAGGTTACTAGGCCTATTTAGAACGTGAAAATTCGAGTACATATCATAAAACAACCGAGACATTAGCAAAGGTCCTATGTAGGTTCGCTTAAAACACTACTACAATGAGATAAAAGTATTTTAGGATGAATGTCATTGAATTATTAATGTGGCGTGGAAACTATTACAATTCTTATAATGACGACTGATTTGATGTAAAGAATAAATTGACAACTCTGTATACAATCTACCGAAGTTGCGAGCAGCAGTAGCAGCTTACGATCGCTCATGTTAATAAACTAATTGCACCTTCTCTGGTAAACGAAACTCAAGCTGTACCTAGCAATAATATACTATAACAGTAAATAATCTTTTTACTGATAAGTTATTAGTAGACAGTTTACATAAACCAATATTTATTTGGGAACTGATTTTTACCATTTAATTACGGAGAATATCTTGGCTTCAAGTGATCAACAGTTAATGGTTTTAAGTGAGGTTGATTTTTAGACAGAGCTTTCACCGATCAACCGCGCTGGGGGCAATGATGACAGAGGGTAAAACATCCCCGATCCTTCTCACGAAATATCAGACACATTTTACAAATTTTTATGACTAATTTGGCAAAAGAGTTGTGTCAGGATCGACCAATTTTGGTTTATGGAATTCGTGCGATGAAACTGCAAACTTACTCTGTCATTATATTCTGACCGCGTCATGGCGGAGTCTACGGGCCTCGAAGGAATGTAGACTGTTCCAATTTGGCTTCGCTTACGTGGATTTCGATGCCTACCTAATGTAGATGTGATCCCTCCTTTACGAGCCTGAAGGGAGGCCTTGCGTTGTGCATAAAACAGAGAAATTTTTTAACTATTGGCATTAGTGTTATCGGCTATGTGAACAAAATTTTGACGCACAGCTTGGATTGCATTAAATTGTTAGCGAAGCTTTTGTATCAGTTTGTGTAAATCTACTCACAAGTTCCTTAAAGTAAGGCGGGACGGGATATGAAGAAGTTGTCGACGTGTGGACCACCTCATCAAATTCAGGCTCCTTCTGCCGATTTAGTTCGTAATCCTGCAACAGCCGACGCTTGATTGCATCCGACTTACTCCTTAAGTCGGACTGTTCAACGCCATTGACGTACATCTGGAAGGTTGTCCCGCTCGAGTCCACGTTGGATCCGCGCCTTAAAAACGGCGTTCGTTTTGTAGGGCTTCGAGGTCCTCGAGGTTTTAGCTTTGTCATCGCCGAAATTTGAGAATACTTAAATGGAATGAAAAATTTCATGAAATCTTAAAATTTCAAAATATTCTCTTTCAATCGATAGTTTAAAACCTTTTCCTGCTCACAATTTATCTAAAAAACGACTTTTGCTACCCACACACTTTTTGAATTTTCTTGGCCCGTTTGTCCATCTCGTCTAACAAAATAATGCGATGCGCCGAGCATTCGCTTTTGCTGCTCCTTGGAGCAACAATTCTGCTAGCCAAGCTCGTTCAATCTGAGTTGCCGTACCGACGTTTCCTCACTCTTAAGGAACAAACTCTTCTAGAATTTTTGGCAAGGGAAGGCGACGTCTCAGAGCTGATGGCAGACGTCTCGGAGGGCGTCGACCCACCCAAGTTCGTTGATGGACTTATTTGTTACACCTGCTACAATTGCGAGAATGCAATGGAGGTTTACGAGTCTCCAGCCATTTGCAATGAGTGTTTTGTGAGTGTGAGCGACCTAAAACCATCTAGATGACGCCATTAATTGCGTCTTTCTACACATCCTGACTCCACTGCCCAGGCTCCATCTATTCAAGCCCATTTTTCCATCCGTTTTCGCCCTCTCCTCTTCTATGCTCACACCTTGTCTGAATTTTATAGGAAAAAATATCAGCAAAGGGAAACATAATCCGCGGCTGCAACGTTGATTCGCGCACTGCCTGCATCACCGATGACAACGAGAGGATGCGTTGTTGCAAAAGTGACTACTGCAATGGGGCGAGACAACTACACGTCCACTCAACTTTCCTGCTGATTCTCGGAATAACGGCTACCAAGAGCTTATTGTAATGCAGAAGAAGGATTTTTAGCAACGAATAAAACGTCTGTGGATTTTCCAGTGTCCTGCTTGGCACACCTTTGAGGGAAAAAATGGTTAAATTTGACAATCTTTCGGAGCCACACCGCAAAAACTGACCACTGAAGTTATCTTTATTTATAACTAATCCTCGTATAAAGAGTGTGTAAAGTGTGTGGAATTCAATGCAAAACTGTTAAAATGAGTAATTTTTTTGGCAAATTTCACCTCTCGAGCTCAAAACGATTGGGAGATGCGCCACAGCACTTAAATAATTACCACTCAGATTAATGCACATTAAAAAATTGCTGTTAATAACGCCTACCATATTCCCTGCCGTCGTTGAAATGCTCGACACGTGTGGAAAGTCATTTGGCCGTGAATTTCTAAAAAGAAAGCATGCAAAATGCTACTTAAATTACTATCAGTACACTCTTTGCAGGAATCAGGTAAATATGGCATATAGAAACATGGAAAGTGAGTAATATAAGAAGAATCGCCGTTTTATTAAGGCACATCTACTTATTTGTAATTAAGTAGAAAGTGCGTTTTCTCTTCCCAATATAAAAAACATATTCTTAATAACCTACACTTTTCGTCTTTCATGCATGAGTTCTGATCGCAGCCACGGAATCATAAAACAGTCAGGTAGGCTTGTAATCATAGAAAATCGGTGACATGTTGAAGACGTAGAAGTAAATCTTGTGCTGACGGGCAAACTCCAACCCCTGACATGACAAACTTGCTTAAGCTTTCAAGACTATTGCTGTTAGACGATAAGCGAGGTACGCGATCATGACCTGATGCTTATGTTCGATGGCAATTAGCAGCAGACGATGCAGTTCGCCAAAATTAAGTACACACAAATCGTGGTTTGGATGAGTTTTGATGGCATTCAGCCCGATGTGCCGCCTCGTTTTACTAGCACGCAGTAACAGAGAAAATCTTTTCTACGAGAGTTCAGTTTATCAACGACAGGATGACGGAAAGAATAGGGGAATACCTGCTGGATTTTTAGTCAGGAAGGTAACCTTCCTCAAAAGTCCTTTTTGATCTTCATTTCTTACTTTCCTGCAGCTCTTTGGTGTGGCAGGTGTCGCCACTTCATTCGCCTCAAAGTCTGTTCCTATGCAGAAAAACTGAGAAACTAAAATAGGGCGCTCATACACATTTTCGAGATTATCTTATCGTGCGTTAGGGTCTTGTCAAATTTGCACACGATCACCAAACCCTGACAGAGGCACTGCTTTGTACATTTGTGAGACTCCACGAATTTTCCCTTAAAGAACTGTTTCCTCCCTGACCCAACTCCGCTAGTATTCCACGCAAGTGGGTTTTTGTCTCTCCTGTTTGGCATCATTTCGTCATCCACAGTGCAATGCGGGGAGGTACTCGAAAAATGTGATGCGCTCCTTAAGAGCCGAAATCGGATAGGCAAAGAGATTAAGTAGTATTCTGCATCTTGTCTTAGCCAAAACAAGCACTTAAAGGAGGTCTCCTCTTTGCCCTCACCTTCTTTTGAGGGGCTCGCTTTGCGCTTCCATGACGTAACCACTGGGTGTCCATCGAAAATCACCCTGTCGGGGACTTGTAGGAGAGGCGGTGTTGGGAAAGACGGTGAGCGAGTCATTGAAACCCACTTGAGGCCGAGTGCTTTGATCGAGGGAGCTGTGATCTGGAAAACTGCGTGAGTGCCAAATTGTCTCCAAGTCGGTGGGTCTTTGAGTATCATAGCGCACCTTGGGAGAAGTGGCATGAAAAAAACTGCTAGCAAACACTGTGGATGGCAAACTTAGTGGGCCTTCGGGTGGGGGGGGGGTTGAGGGCAAGAGAGTAGTCACCTGTTTGATGGACGATCGTGGGAATGAGCGATCCGGTTTCGAGGTGGGTGAAGGAACGGATGTGACGAAAGAGCCCGACGGGGAATTAACAAGTCTCTGCTGCAGAGCTGCCGAAAACGCGGTGGAATTCTGTCTCACCGGACTCACTGGACTGCTGTAGACCTTCGAAATGGCTGTAGGGCGAGTAGCACCACCTTCAACATTTGCCACGCAATAGTCGCCCCTCGTGCTTCTTTGCATCCTCTATAGACGGTGACGGTGAATTTTAAGGTAGCACAACTACTGCAGCAGTCGTAAGGTAACGCCACAACGGCAATTTGCTTTAATGAGCTGTGGAGCGTGTTTTCGTTTGCGCAGCGACAAGAGCGCGAAAGCAAGAGGCGCCAATTGACTATTTTACGGTAAACTGGGAGGCTATTACCGAAAAAAACACCCACTGCTACCCATCAAAACACTCCACAACTGTTTAAAAGCCGTTTGCACAGAAAAAAACTTCATACATCCAATTTGCCACCACCATCCGCCTTATTTCTATGTTGCTGCTGTCCGGAGATGGTGGCGAACTGGGAGGCGCCAACTTTTGTCAAGGGAGGAGGGTCACAATGCCAACGATGCAATGAGTGAAATTTAATTAAAAGACCGCTTATCGTTTGTTCCGAAGTAACTTAGACTGCTGGATATTAAAGAAGCAAAATAAGTTTCTCTAAATTACTGCGAACACACTTTGGACGGCGGAATTTCCTGCTAGCACGAAATTCTCACTCAAGTTTAGAAGTAAAACTCATAAACCACCAATTTGGAAGTAAATTTGGTTTGATTACGTTCACCATCATTTGTTCACTCGTCGCCTCCGACACAGCATCGCGGTATCGTCGATGAAGGGCGCGACAATTCCTGTTTGGTGCGTTGCGAGCTTGAAGGGATCGACAATGGGGATGGAAACACGTGAACAAATGCACTGCCCTCCATATTCAGCATGAACAGACAAACTGACATCATCAACCGATCCGAGATTGAAGAAGGCTGCAAAATTGACAGCCTAAAACTACACTTCGCCCATGGGGAAAGACAGAAGGAGTCGCTTTTGACAGGCTAATCATCTCAAGGCTTTAATGGTGGTGGAAAAATGAACAGAATGGAGGACTTCACCAGCCACTGCTCTCTCGGCTTTAAAATCAACTCAAATGTTCACTTCGTACCTCTGCTGAGGGAGAAAAATGGTGGACTTTAGAGCCTTATTTGAAGCATTTCACAAAATACCTGTCGCCTATTTCTTACAGACAAAGTGGAGCAGCTTTTATTTGCCACAATATTAAAGTTGTTCGTTAGGAGGGCACTAAATTATTGGTGAAATTTCACAAAGTAGTCGGTTATACGGACTGATTTTTGGAGAAGAAAGTTTCCCATTTAATGTGAGGTGTAAGTGAATTCCTGTCCATATTTTTGACATGTCGCAGTCACTGGGAGAGGATCGAGACGAAAAATCCCTCGAATGCATCGAAAAAAGCGGCTCAAGTAATTAGGGGAGCCACAATCCCGCTTTCACCTTTGTAAGCCCAAATTTGGTGTTGGCTTGCGAAATGAATTGGCCCAACTGTCATTCTTGCTTGTGAAGGAGAACACTGCTGGCGATGGGAATGTTTACATTCCAAAGGCCAAACACCAAAATCACATGCTAATCATTCCTCTCTTTCTCCCTCATTCAAGGCCGAGGCAAGTCTTGGCAGTGCGAATGCCTTTCTGGGGTTTCGCATTTTAGATTGGTGAGGAAAAACGTTCACCCAGCTTTTAAAAATGGATTGGAGAAAGGCTGCCAGCCGCTCCCCCTCCTTGTGCCGTAGTCTGTGCCTCGCAACTTAACTCTTTTTTCACAAATGGCGACAATGTCCGTTTGGTGTGATGAGAATCCATGAAACCGCGCAGAAAATAATGAGACGTTAGGCAGTGAGTGCTAAAGTTACTAGTCCACATCCTGTTATGAAGTAATTTGCAAGCCGGCTCACCTATTAACAGGCGCTTTCCTATCACTTTCTACATGATGATAAAACATTATGTAGGAATCGCCCGGTTTTTGACATTTTATAGAGCCCGATGCCAATATAACATAAATGTACCCTTTCCTTCAAAGGCATATCCTTTGAAATGTCAAGCACGTAAGGAGGAGAGGAAAATAGTTCGACGAATACGTCCTACAGCGTCGGAGGTGCGCGAGGGCTCTTTGGAAGTACAGATTGTAGCTAAAATCGAGGCCGTCGTTATGGGCTTTTAAATATGGCTCGTCTTGGATTGAGGTACAGTCACGAAAAATGCCAGAATTTTACCATACCAACTAGTGAAAACACCCTTAAAAGTCACCGGGACTTAGTAATGAGGAAGCAGGAGGGCCGATGTACTCTTTTGGCGTTCCTTATGTGTGGTAGTAGTCAGTAGGCAACTAATATTCTAGGACAGTCACCAGTGAACGAAACCCATCAAATTCGAATTTAAGCCTTCGAATGGGCCTTACCATGAGAAGGGTGATTTCCGTTTTCTCTACAAATATGTACACACAATTGGATAAACTTCTTTCAAACATCCAGTTCATTTTGGCACGGACTCCTATGTGGGACCAGATGAACCATCCCTACGATAATTTGCTTTACAAGTTATCCCTGCCGATTAGGCAGTACTTAAAAAGACGCACAAGTTTTGTATGGCGTGGCTTTTACTTTAAGCGGTGTGAATGAGAAGGCTCTTGCAGAAGTGTAGAAAAGAGTTCTGGAGGAAAAATTGACTAGAAGAATCAATTTATCACCCCGTGAATGTCCAGAGGGTATAAACGAAGTCGATAACTTTATTCTGCCTTTAAGTAGTAACGCTTAACATATCCTGTCAAGCGTAAACCTCACGCCGTTCCTTTTCACCATCAATATCCTCCTTTCAGGTAAAATAACATAAAATTTAACGACGAGTGCGTTCCAACATCAAAGGTTGTAGAATCTGTCGGACATAAGGTGCTGAACGTGGTAATAGTAAAAAATCGACTATACTTCTTCACCTTCGTTCATCCGCATTAATTGAAATACATGCACGACAGAATAACGAGGTGATAACCTTGAAGTCAATCCCTCACTTTTTAAAAGACATAAAATCAATGACTTCTTAAAAATTTGAACGCATTAAAAGATCTTCCACTAACTTTATTTTATCTCCAAATTTCTAGGCTTTAGGCTACGTAATCTGAAGGTCGGATAGAGAAAACCAACTACTACTTGATGGTTATAATGGAACAATGTTTTCAACATTGTTTACCAACGCTCTGAAAGGTAGCCAACTATAGGTTGGCCTTGCGAGACCAACAAAACGAACCACCAGAATGAATGTTCTAAGCGGAACTCCATATCTTACGAACTGGCAACATTTTGTGGTGTACGACTTTGTTTACTTGTCAACGAGGCCAAGATTTGCCACCATGTTGACTTACGCTTAAACAAATTTGCTTACAAAGAATGCACAATTCGGAAAGCCAAAATGTAATATTAGCTCACCTTAGCAGGTTCGCCCTAAATTAGGACTGTTATATGGCCACAATTTTACAAAAATTAACGAATTCTGCCTAAGTTATTGTTTGAGGTGATCTTTAGACTTCTACTTACCAAAACTTCAAAACTAAAAACCGACATTTTAACTGGTTTCAGGACGATCCTGTTTGTAGGTTAAATCCGCTCATTTGGCACAGCTGGAATCATAGTCCTTACGTATTCCATTTGTCTCCACACTCTCTTTTGAATACAATAAGGGCGACTACGAGCGAAGCAATTTGGTCTCGAGTTTCTTTCCTCGTCGTCCCCTTCCTTACTACCTCATTTCAAAATGAATGGAACAATGCATGCCAGCAGCAGCAAGAACGATAGAAATCTAAGCACGCTTTGTCGCAAGTAGCGCAACCAAAAGATTGAGGTCCTGTTTGTTATCGTAAAATTTATACTAATTTTAACAATTGAGGAAGAAAATTATGCGCACAAAGCAGGCGTGGTCTACCTAATTACGGGAGGGAAGAGGCGAAAGAAGATGACAAGAATGGACTCCACCCTACCTTGTTAGACATGCTAACAGAAATGCAGTAAAAGTGACATGACCACTGTCAATACTTACTGTTAACTGGGCGGATTGAACTGGCCGAAAGCCTCAGCCACAGATACACTTACACGCACTCATACAGATGGGTACACTCGCGGTTAGAGAGGGAGAGTGGATCGAAATGGACGAGACCACAAATGGGAGGGTGAAGGATGCGGTGTGATGTTGTGCGTCGCGGTGTGTAGGGGCGGTTGTGCTTGCACACACGCAGCAATTAACGCAGTCTTCATTGGTGCAGCATAAGAGAGGGAGAGAGGGTGAGGGAGAACGAGGGAGAGAGCGAGAAACGCAACAAGGTCACAGGCGTGTGCGGCATCATCACCACACCGACTGTCAAATCGATGTTTTTGGTGCCTGTCTGTTTGTAGGCGTGGGAGTGTGCGCGTGATGAAGGGACAGGAGCACGACCCAACTTTCAAATGGCCTTGAACTTTGTTTTTGAATCAGGTTAAAAACGACCATCCTCTTTCCACGTCATTGAGGACAGACCACACTCACCAATGCACTTTGAACACAATTTTGTTTTTTCCAAAAATTAGCTGTTTATTTTTTTTTTAGATTAATGTTCTGCTTTCATGGTGGGTCAGACCGGCCATGTATGAAGCTGTCATGTGGGGTGATCGTTGCATTCTTTTGATCCTAGTAGTGTAGCAGGACCTTCGAGACGCATTTCCCTGTGCCACACTCATCCTCCGAAAATGCAAACGCACGTCCTAATCGTTGTTGCATAATTTTGCTTTAAGCTTCGAAGTCCCCCATGTCACAAGGCTAGTGAAATAGATGGACGGATCAATTCAGCCTAAGGAATGCAGACGGCCACTGTATTTATCATTTGGAGAAGCTCGACTTCGCTTTTTTCTCTTCGTGACGGTCTGCACATGCACATGTTGCCATAACATTGTCAAAGGTCAAACAATGGCGGCGTACCAGTCAAGACCAATATAACTTGGGAGAACTTATGACTTTACATTGGTACAATCGTTTGTTCGGGCGAGTATGATGCCTTGCGACTCCTCGAAGAGGTTAATTAACGGAGACCCTCAAAACAGCCGAGGTGAGGTAGGGCGTCAGTTCCCGCATATTTATGGAATTAATACGATGACCTTGACCTTGTGATGATTACTAGCAAATTAAAACATGGCTACGCATTCGATGAACTGAACGAGGCCACAAGTTTTGCATTTAGAAAGAAAATCGACCAGACTTAGGACATGACCTCGCAGCGTTTATCGCCACATTTGATGTCGATTTGAGGACGGAACCACCATTGGGAATATGAGGCGCTCAAATATACACTTCTTGCGTACTTTGAGTGTCTGACCATGTCGCATGACAGCTACGACCCGCTAATACAGCCACGGCAGTTGACAAGACATTAGCACTGCTATCATTTTGGCGTTAGAGGGGACGAAAATGTTTGCAACCGACAAATCAAGTAGAGTTGACCACCACCAAGGCTGGAACATGCAACAGATTGTCATACCGAGGTGGAAAGAGTTAAAGCATAGCCAAGTAGAAGCGAAATTTTGTCTACCCTTTCGGGTGCTTAAATGGAAAATTTCTGTTTTTCTAGCAAAGCTGTTTTTGCTCTTTAAAGTGTCGACCCGGCGTAGCAACAGAGATATTTTGCGTCTAAAAACGCCATTAAGGGCTTTTTAAAGCAGACCGCTCACCACCACGCGGTTCTCAAATGTAAGAAACTGGGAGGTCTTTCACCAGTAAATGTCCGCTGACTCATCTCACTTCTATAATTGCACCTCGAGCTACTCAAATAGCAATAAAGTAGCATGGTCCAGATTAGATCACTAAAAAAGCCTAAAATATTGCATTTCTTGCTTATTGTCAAGCGCTTTGTCTTGGTGTTTGATTAAAATGCATTTTGATGTTCTTAGTGTTGTCAGCACTTTTTAAACGGGTATTCGCAATGCCTTCGCGCACAAAGCATCCTCTCTTCTAGAGGTGGGATTTCTTCCCAAACCTAACTGATCTAGTTTGGTGCAGAACACGTCCACCTTTTCTGCCAAATTCAGGTACAGCAAAAATCTGGCATTAAATGATTCCATCTCATTCCTACCCCAGTGTCCAATCCCACCGCCATTTTGTACGGGTGTCCTAAAAGTCTTATGAAAATGTCTTCTACGGACCAGAAAATTTTCGGCGTTTTGTTCGGCACCGACGCTGCTTTTGGTGATTCAGCAGGCTCCAACAGATGCCCTAGTAGATAAATGGGTTCCCAACTGGATGGAGGAGGAAATAAATCAGTGAGCGAATGAATGAATCAACTGAGCTTAGAACAGTTGCTTTTGTGGAGCCCCTTTCGCGCCTCTCCTTTGGCACCATTTTTTGGCTCAATCAGACAAGATCTGAAAAAATTTTTGAAATATTATGCTGATTGGCATTCTAGTCTCTTTTCATTGGAGGCAAAAATATACTGGGTCGGTATTTTCCGTTTGAATGGCAATACACAAGGCGGGACTAGTTGCTTTGACTCCTCCATAAAAACCTAGGGATTTTTAAAACTAATGGAGAAGCGACAGCTTTTTTAAGCCTTCTTTTGTAGCCCTTTGACATTTGTTAATGAGGAGCTTGAGTTAGATTCTCTTCAACACAGAATACTTGTTGATGACGGCGTCCTGGTCGATGGGCGACAGGAGGGACGGCGCGTTGGTTAGCAGACTCAGGGCCACCACAATGGAGGTGATGGTGAATATGACCAAGACGAGACGATCTATCACTAAAGCCGCGTATTTCCATTCTTGAACCACCTAAAAAAAGTCATGTGAAGCAAAGCATAATGGAAAAATTAAACTCCGATGAACAGAATGCTACTTATTTTTGAATTCAGCAGCCTGTCACAAAACCCACAGGAACGATATGTACTTTATTGCACTTAAAATAAACAATAATCTACTGCCATTAAAGTCGGTGCGAACCAAAGCGAAAGGCCTAACCGTACTGCTTTAGTGTTAAGGGGAAACCAGCACGATAGTTTCGGAATTAACCCGATTTAGTGAGCGAACCATGCAAAAGCACGTGCGGATAGGACTTTGTATCAGAGAGTATTACTAAAAACTCAACCTTGGAGCTAAGCTGAACGAGGTACATTCATGTTTTTCAGGAAACTTGGTTAACTCAAAGTGTTAGACGGAGTGGCCAAGAGAAGACTTCCAGTAGGCGGTGGACCAAAGATGTTGGCCGGTTTTGAGTGCGGGTACTGACCAATAATGAGGAGGGATCGAAAGTTTGGGCAAAATGCGAACTGCATAGGGACATTCAAACGACGAAAAATATGCATTGACCCGGACAGCGTGTTGCGGTAGAGGGCGACCAACTTTTGCTGGAATCCCATCCGTAATAAGAGATGGGAAAATGGCTTCATAATGTACTATTAAACGAAGGAATGGGTGGTTCCCCAGCCTTTTCCACATCTCTAAGGTGTACTTACGGTGGAAGAGAAAGAAAGGAATCGAAATCCTTTGACAAACGATTTAAAACCTTTGTGGCCGTTTCTTCTACGCATTGTCATTCAGTTCGGAGGTAAGAAGAGGTCAAACAATCACCCACATTTTACGTCAAAACAGGTGTGACAAGCGGCTTCGTTTGCCTGCTGATGTCTAATGAAATGACTCAAAAGTGTAAACGTCAGAAAAGCTTGGATTTTTTGCCTGTGAGGGCATAGCGCACGGTGCTTTGAACCGAAGACAGCCATTTTTCCTCTTCATTTTCAGCATTTTACATTTGCTTCTCATCCTCTTAATGACATCTAATCGCAGTTCTATGAAAAGGAAGGAAGACAAAAGAAGTTCTGTTTTAGGTTGTTGTGGTTCAAGCAGTTGTTTCTTCACTTGCAATCGGTGTACAAAAAAAGTGTTTTGCCCTGTCTTCTTCTGCATGCACTGAGAATAAATGTGTGTGGTAAGGACAAAAGGAGTTGCTCAGAAGACAAATGGACGAATGGAGGGAGCATTTAAAATCACAGCAGCTTTAAAATTTCGTCACGCTGATAACTCACTCGATTTGGTGCCCAACCTGACTAGAAACGCCGTTCTACACTCACTCATTTGCCATATTCGCAATGCTCCCCTTCCTTCTGTTCGCCTTACTTTTTGCCATAAAAGCAATCTCTTAACGAATCTCACACCATGAAATCAAAATAGCACTAAACTAAAAGCTCGAGAAGAAAATACCGATATCACATTGGAAGGTCTATATTACTTAAATGAGCACATTTAAGTAGACACATGTCGGCAATTCTTTATTTTGCCTCCCTTTTTTCGCAATGATGTGATAGTGTGCAAGTTTTCTGGAGTCGAAGATGTTTTACAGGTACCGACGATGTTAAGGTTTGTAAAGTGACCAACTTCGCATCCTCGTGTGTTCACTTCCCCACTTCTCGAGTGTTTACGTAGAATTAGCATCAACTCTACCAACGGTATCATCAGATTGTTAAATCTTCCACACACGTGCCAGACAGTGTTGCAGAGGTCAATGTGCCTCAAGCCTATATTCTTTCCATCGGGATTAGCCAGTCATTTCGAAATACAGCCATTGCGGTTTGCCATTTTACGAGTAAAACTTGCCTTTTAAAAGTGGTTAAAAATTTTTGGACTAGCCTCTGAACAAATAGCCGAAAAGTTCTTGCACAATTTCCTCCCTAGCTGAGCCGCTGCTTATCATATGAAATGACATTGAAGTCACCTCTCAACAGTCACACTTCGTGCTTCTACATTCTCACCTCTCCTGAAGCCAAGTCAATCCGTTCCAAAGCCTTTTTCCCCTTTTGACCCATCGGTAGTACTAAAGGGCTCTCCTTAAAGCGTGTGAAATTCGCCACTAAGGAGAAGACCTCTTGGGTTAGCCTTTAAAGGAGAGTGATCTTGACAGTTGTTATAATCCATGCTCTGCAATAGGCGCATGGAGAGGCTCTAAGGGAATTGTGTGAGGCTATCCGCTCTCAATACAACCGATAAATTTAATGATAGAAGAAAAGATATAAAAAATTGGGCTCACAACTTGGTCCTTCTGCTTCTCATCTAATCGATCCGAAATGTATTCAACAGCCTTAAGACCGTCGAGTAGACTCAAGCCATCCTGGCTCCGCATTCTAACCGTGGCTGCCGTCGTTTCAGTAGCCTGTCGCCATCTGCCCGCTCCAATTCGGTGTGGAGATTGACGAAGCTTGAGAATTTTCACCTCGCCTTTTAACGAAATCACTTCCCTCCCATTTGAAGTTGTTTGACTTTCCAGAGAAATGTCAGATAACTGACTTTCTGATGCGGTCAGGCATAGAGTTTGCAGGTTTTCGTAGAAGTTTCCACCATTTTTTGTCGTCATAAAGGCGTCCACCACAATTCCTCCCATAGAGTTAGTGGTTGCGAAGGAGGTAATGTCAGGCGAGGCGCTATCAGGAAAATTCTGAATAAAGGCATCCCCGTTGTCCGAGGAAAACTGATTAACTGCAAAGTATGAGGGCAATGACGTATTCTTTTCATTTTTTTTCTCATTTTCCTCCTCCTCCTCCTCCACTTCCACCTTCTCGGCATCAGGGTATTGAAGGCGATTAAGAAGGAGAAGGGGCGGAAGTAATTGTATAAAAAGTACCCTGATCCAACGCGGCATAGTGTGAGTCCTGGGAGACCGGTAATTCCAGTCCACCACCAGAACTGTCACAAATACAGCAAAGACGTCGGAGACGAAGGTGAACATGAGGTATCGTGAGATTAGTGGAATTGTTGTGGAAGTGGGTGGAAGGATCTTACTGACGAGGATGAGGAAAACCACCAAAGCAACGACAATGCTGATGGCTAGTGTCACTTTCTCGCCTGCATCAGAGGGCAGGTAGAACACAAAGATACTCAGCAGTGAGAGCATCACGCAGGGCACAATCAAATTGACCGTATAGAAGAGCGTCTTGCGACGCAACTTGATGGTGTAGATGATATAGGTGTTGTTCACTCCGCCACTGTGAGTGTTCACAATGCGAGCAGGGACATCAACTAGATCCCAGGTGCCGCTTCGCCAGTAGTCGGAGAGGTCGACGAAATCCAAAGAGGAGTAAAAACCGAGAGAAATCTAAAGCGAACATTTTGCCCTCTTTTGTTGACCTTTACCTCTAGCCCTCTGAACTCGCCGACTATGACGACGCACCTGGTATTTTAAGGCGCTAGCACAAGTAAATGCGTGGACTGAGCAGTTTCTTCATATTTGGTGTAAAAGTGATAATAACTTTGCTTAATTTCTCATTTCTTTTTTTGGGAAACGGAAGGAAAAACTCTAAAAAGCGAATTGTTTACTTCAAAACGACACCACTTAAAAGAGTTTTGCCAAAAGTATGATATGTTTTAATGTGATTTTTCATTTAAAGTCGTAAAAGGAAAAATAGTGAACTGAATAATGAGTCTGAGGGATACTCTAGGGCGTCTTTTGGCCACTCTTGCCTTTCTCTCTACTCTACGGTCTAAATGTCAAGGCTAATAACACGGAGGAAAACTTTTAAATGCCTCAAGTGGTGCGGAGGTGGGAAGACTTTTTAGTGTTCATGCCCTGTGACCACACCATTAAATGGAAACTAGCGTCACTTTATGCTTTTCCACAAGAAAAGCAATGGCCTCAGAACCTCCTCTCTCAATAAATAACGCTCGGAAATGGCCAAGCCTAAACAAAGCAAATTGTACCAACCTACTTGAAGTTATTAGACGATTACGTATGCCAAGAGGAGCAACGTTAAGCGTTTGTTAAGATTCGAGGGAAAAACAAAGCACCGATTTTTGAATAGAAGGTGACTGCTTCTAAAGATTGTCCGTCGTTTTCCAATCTGCCCTGGTAAACTTGTAAGCATTTCAAGAAAAATTTGGAGATAAGAACTGAACAAAGCCCTTCTCAAATTAACTAAGCGTGAAAAATTGCTTGTAGATGATGCTTGACTTGGTAAAATCGTGTTCTGCAGAATGGCATCTAACAAATTAATGAGACTGTTAACCAGAGGAAACAAGCATTGTCAGAGTTCCACTTTTCTTCTGTTAAATCCCGAGAGCAAAATTAACCAATTTAAGCCTATCAAACAAGTCCTAGGCGTGTTCCTCTATTATCCCAGCCAATATATGAACCTATAGTACATTTTTTGCCCTAGGCTGTAATGCTTTGGTAATTTTAATACTGTTTCATGGACCAACTCATTTTCAGGTAAAATCTCAGAGCGATTAATTGGCATCAAGGTCAAAATCTAATCCTCTACCCAAATAATGAGAATATTTGCCTATTAGTTCTATCTTCCATAACTGACCAATTGAGGACGACAGTAGAATGCAAAAAGGGAGTAAATACTGGATCAACGAAACCCATATTGAGCGTGCAATGTGTAGCAGCTTTGAGACACCTGCAACATCTTAACACTTTAATTTTCACTCTTCTATACAAACCTATATCTTATAGATTCTCACACCTCAAATAGCACTCTCACTCAAAACTTGCTAAAAGGATTAGTTTTGTTCTTTTTGAATAGAATCAACCAGTTTCTCAAAAATACCCATGCTAGTTACCCGATTGAAAGGGTTCTAGAATGGTTGCAGTGATTACAGAAGCGCACTCAAACGAGCTCGACCTTGAATTAAATCGGTGAATTGAATCCAGTAGTTGAATTGTCGTGCTTCATTCATGTTTACTAGAGAATGTGAAATGTGTTTGTTCTCTTTGTTCGAATGCGGGCTTAGTGGCCATTAAGAGGGCAACTGCAGTTGCAGATCCTTTCAATATCTCCTAACTTAACCAACTCTACTTGTCAAAATCGGCGTAAAAATGGGCATACCCTCGAGGCATCAAATGCCCAGCTGCCAAACTTCATTTCGCACTCCTGTTCATCGAAAGGAAAATACTCGACATCGATGGCACAGGAACTCTCATAGACCGCTGGGGGCATCCACAGTATCGAGCCATCGTAGTGAACCAGGAGATTGGGTTGCCAGACAACCTCATAATTTCCATCGGCACTGAAAAATATGCACAGTGATTTTGCTTATAAGTCCAAGGTTTTTGGAATGTATTTTCCCATGTTCCCTAGTTCATATCTTGTGTGCGATTGTCTCAGGCTAAATCAAGGAGACGAGAACTGCCTTTAACGTGCTAAAGGCCATCAGATGAAGGCAAGAGAAGAGGATATTTCCATAGAATGGCTACAAAAGGCATTTAGCAAGAAGCTTCAGAAAAAAGAATGGCAACACGAATAAAAGAGCAACTAAGATAACTTTTTTTGTAGAAGAAAAACAGTATCATTGGGACAAATGTTTACTGAGGTTTAGGTAATGTACCTGCTAGAATTGGTTACACTGGGATGTCTCTGTCTACCTAGCCCTTGCAAGGGATTGCATTTTATCTTTTCTCCTTTTGTTTTATGGGTTACTATACTTAGAAGTCATGCCAATTTTCACTTCTGTTCCAAAAATAAAGTCACATTTGCTGTTTACTTTCCTAGTATTGGATATCATTCATTCTGTCCAGATCCCAGGGATCGCGGCAAAATCACTCTGTAGTATGTAACTCCTTCACTATTTGTATGATCTTCTAATGCTGAAGGCGAGGTGCGATGAGGAGCAAGCATCTTCCAACCACTCATGCCAAATCACCTCCTCGACACAACTTCGATCCAAAAAGCGTAGGCTCGAAAAATTTGCCATCTTTGTTATAATGGAAACATTACAGTAGACCTTATGAAATACAAAGTGTGTGCAAAAATATAACTTTAAGGTGTGCGAACTTGAATGATAGAAAAAGATTTTTTCAGCCTCCTTTCTTTATGGCATCTTCTGCCTCTTGCTGGCGTCAGTTCTAACGGTACTCAACATTTCCAAAGTCCCTCATCTACCCGACAGAACAAATCTGTGAAGTTTTGTTTAGACTTATGTTATAATTAGCCGTTTCAAAGTCAGTGAGATAGATGGGAGAGTCATAATTAGGTAAAGCTGCCGCATCCCTATTTCAGTGCTTGCAGTGACAGTCAAAGCAAATATGGCGTCGGCAGTGGAGGAACAAGTGGTAGCGAAGATCGCCCCCTCCTGAAATCGCACAATTTGAGCCGCTATTTCTACCTTTGCTCTTGTTGGGGGAGACTTTGTTTTGTAACAGAAGGAACACCTTCTCTTGACTCCGATTCCGCCGCCAGTTTTGGCAACAGCAACGTCCGATTTGATTCGCTTCTGCCCCAGTGATTACAGAAGCTAATTGCATTTAAGTTTGGACTAGCATTTAGGCAAAAGTTGAATAGCAAAAGAAGTGTTAAGTAGGTCTAAAATTTCGCCTTCTGATAGGGCCTCGTCACTGTGCAATTATCACAAGTAATGACTTCCAAGTGAGCAAATCGTCTTACGAGGTTTATCCCTTAAGGATGCAAAACTTAAGAACATAATAGAAGTTGTATTTTAGTTTCATGAGCTACTTAATTTTGGTTTGCAAAGTCGACAAATTCCATTTTTTACACCATGAGGGTCTCGTTTTAATGATTTGGTTCGAATGAGTCCACGACGACATTTTGCGCTCTCCTCGTACCGATCGACCTCGTGTCTGATCATATCACAATACTTTATCTGCGAAAACGCACGAAATAATGGATCAAACTTCCATTTCGCATCAATGAAAATACTACTTACTTATTAAAGAGTACTATGTCTGGCTTCCAGACTTCATTGTGGGGCACACGAATCACCCTTAGACCGCCATACTTTGCCGGATCCCAAGTCAGTTGATAGTCTCGCCACACCTTGAGTTGGAAAAAGAGAGGGTTAACGGACGGCAATGACTGTCCTTTCCATCCGACACAAACCAATCTGAAGAATTTGTTTATCTCGTCCGCATTTAAAAGGTCAAGTGTTTTCTCCATTTGCTTCCACTTCGTCTCCTTAAGCATTGAAGGAAAGGAGCTGGTACGTTAACTCGAGCCATGCCATCCTGCAGAGCAGGAATTCCCCTCCTGCTATCCTTATAACCTCTCTAATTTTAGAACTTCGGCTTGTAAATGGAAGAGATGGACCTCGCTTAGTCTTAATCCAGTTGTAGTATGGTCAGAAAATTAAATCAACCCGAGGTTGATTGCAGGCGACAAGTTGTCAGGGAAGCGTAACAGCTCCTTCGACTACGGCCACCATCCAGGCTCCATAAAGCGTGTCCAAAGATGTCTTTGTATTTTTTTTGAACCCATCGCACTTTACAAGCGCACAACACAGCAAATCTGCCAAAGGTGTCATGAATTTTTTGTGGTGATCTGACCAAGGTTGTCAACCTAATTGCCGAGGCACGAGAACTGCCACCTTAAACCACCTCAAGGTGGCTAAATGAATAAGTATTTTGGGGACCAAAGCTCAAGCAAATATCTCAGCACACAATATGCTTTTGCCTTTTTTTGCATTTATCGGTGCAAAGCGAAGCTCGCTTACCATCGGTAGCCAGACGTTGCTCTTCATCACTTGCCTGCGTTCATCCTAATTAAAGAAAGACGCTGAAGGGAGTTGCAATTCATCTTTGCAACGACACAAGAAAAGTGACCGGCAAGACGACTAAATTTTATCAAATTATTTGGGGAAAAACAAATAAACTCTTAAGGAGAATTAATTTTGTTGACTTTATTGTGAAAAGATTAGCCCAATTCCCTTCGTCGCCAAAACCATGGCGACGCCTGACTGCCATAGCAACGTGACCGCCTTCTCGACTGCCGAATTGGGAGAGTTGAGAGCGCTGCCACACAGTTCTCTATCCAAAATTTCTATCATTCACTGCTGTTGCACTTTTGTCCAGTGAATTGCGCCATCCTTTCTGCTGCCTGGGTGAAGAGAAAAGAGAGACGTCCTTTTGCAATTTTGAATAAAGAGGCAACACAGACATTGCGAATTCAATCTGAGTGGAGTGGCTAAGGCGTGGGCAAAAACACATCAGTGCAGGCCATTAGCCAAATTGCCTCCGTCCTTGGAAGAATGGCGCCCTCTGTCCAACCGTTCACCGTCCTGCTTTTTCTTCCCAATGCAACAGAGTAAGTGACAGATTTCCCTTCAGCTTCCTGATAAAGCCTGTTGTTGTAACGCTTGTGACAGATAAAATCGCCAACGGACAAAGCCCAAAATTCACCCCGACTAAGCGGTTGCTGTAGCACGAAAAGGAGGTGAAGAAAATGTTTTTCTTGCTAAAATGAGGGAGCTCACAATGTGTATGAGTTGAATCATGCAGAGGCCGAGGTCGACTCGTAGCGCCTCGGAGATGTTTGCCACAGGACGAATCAACGGATTGTAGCCCTGCTTGTGAAAGAGGTAGTTTATCAATTCAAATTCCTGCTCCGAAGCAACCTTCGTCTGTGTTCCAACTAAAATGGGAAAGAAATTTTGAGCAAACACTGTAGATCTAAGAAAAAAATGTAGTGTCTCGGCAGAATGTAAGGTTCGTATCTGGCGCTCACCACCAGTGAGTTGAAAGAAAACAAGACAGGGAACATGTTTCAACACTCGTGTACTTCCTTTCTTTTTAGCCTTTAAAAATATCATTAACATTTAAACTGACCTTTAAATTGTGCAAAAGGTCAAGTGGAAACATGAATGTTGGGGGTGAACAAAGAAATTGCAATGGGTTTTGTTGAAACTGGTTCAGTTAGTGCATCGCCAGATGACAGATGGGTTGCAGCTTTTATATGCTCTCGGGTAAACCTAGAAGTCGCGTAGAACCTTACGGAGGCTCTTTCTCTTTCGAGTTGTAGAGCCACCATCTTCTAAAGCCATACCCTCTAAGGTCGGGATGCATTGGGGAGAGATTTGAGGCGGGAGACGTCACTTTTCCCTAATGCAAACGGCCTGGGGTGATGGTTAGCTAAAACCCTGTTCTTTAATTAGCAAAAATTGTTGAGGCATAAATTTATGGCGTTGGAGTGATAGGAATATTCAAAGTCGGCATTTTGCAGCCGTCGGTTCGATGCATCGTGGCGAAAAAATTCAAGTAGAATGCAAGTTTTAAATGTAAATGTTGTCTTCGTTCGACGCTTAGCGCTTATTGTTGAGGTCTAAATAATTCACATAATTTATTTTGACGCAAATAAATGGCACCGTCACAAATCTATCTAAAAAAGCTTAGAGACGGTGTGAAATAAGATCCAAAATAGGATTAATTTAGCAATGAAGGATCTCGAGGTTTCTAGCAAGTGCTACGTCGACTTCTGCAAAGGCTATGTGAGCCTATTTGAGCTCCACTGTAGTTACTTCACAAATCCCGCGCGGCACGCAAGGAGTCAAAGTCAGCAATTTTGTGTTTGTCAAAAATACACGTAAAATTCGCTCTAGTGCTGCATGTATCCGCCAATTTTCAATGGAAAAGACGCAGAGGAAAGGGTTTTAAGGCAAACGATTTACGTTTATGAAGCTTGCTCTTGAAAGGGCATTTCAAAAAATCATAAGTAAATCTGCTTAGTGGTTTTCGAAAATCACCTTTAAAATATTCCTCGCAAATGCTTAATTATTAAAAACTAGCAAAGTTTTAGTCATTTGCTTTGGCAGGAGTATTCGCCAAAACAAAGGCTATATTTTGGTCATTTTCTGCACTAGACTTTAAAAGTAAACACGAAATACTTTCAACTATAATCAAGTAACTTTGTTTAAACTAATTAAATAAATTATACAAGTTTGTTCAGTGAACTGTAGTTTTCAAATCGGTCGCAGTGGGTGGTAGCATGGGTAAACTTAGTGGTTTTAAGCCTGATACTAATTATAAGCAATAAACTTTAACGCGCATTAGATTTTCTGCCTATTTTCGGCTTAACTGGCTGACTTACATTCCCTCCACAGTGATCCATATCGCAGTGGATCAAAGGAGGAGAGGGTCTTTTTTGATTGATCTTTTGCATCCTTTTTGGAGTCCATGGAAGTGACAAGCGTCGGTGCAATGACACTGCCCACTCCACCTGCTTGACATGATACGACGCCCATCAAGATGCTCACCACTATGCACAGTATCATTGCGATCGCTCGTTCTCGTGATTTATGGGCTGCCAGATGCTCCTCACTTGAGTCAGTAGACAGACAGACAGACCGCAGTGGATCTCACATTTGGAGAACCAATGAAAAGAGTCCTTTACTTTTCTCTGCTACGACAAACATCGAGAGACAATTTTGTGATCTCATTTCATTTCCTTGCACCAAAACTAAAATAATAAACGACCGAATATGCGCTCCTGCGCTACTATATCCGTCTAGAAGAGTTTGATGAGGAAGTTAAGAATGTGCTATGGCTGAGGATTATCACCTTCGGGCGGCTTAAGGAAGGAGGAAGTGTCCTCAACGGACGCCTTCTTGGTCTCTCTTTCCTCCCGAATTGTGCGGAAATATTGAAGTGCCAATGTGGAGGAGGCCAAAAATGATCTCTAGAGAAGGCAGTAGACTGATTATGTTTCCACTTTCTCTCTCTTTACCACTCGACTGAACGTCGTAGGATTCTATTCATATGTTTAGTGGTCAATGTTGCTAACTTTTCTTTAAAGCACATTTACTTTGCACGCCTCAGTTATATTCCATCGGGCGGGTGGAATCTAGTCTTGGATTTCTTGCACACCGCCAACTTTGATGCACTGAGCTTCTGTAGCCGTGCAGTGTAGAAAGGGGTAGAATCACATGAGGAAGGAAAGGTGAGGAGCTCAGCTTTGGGCACCCAACACCGTAATTTGGTCCTCAACGTTGCACCTCAAGTGTCATTTGAGTGACCATTACCAGAGTCGGAGAAGGTGAGGGGTGTTGCGTCTCGAGACTTCTCATAGGGTGAAAGAAGGTGGTAGGTGAGACTGGATACATGTATTCCGAAGAAAACCGAGCCACTAGGCCAAAGGCCAGTTCACGTGTACAAGAGCCGGGCAAATCCCAAAGCTACCGCCAAACGTCAGGTGGTCACATAAACAAAGCATTACAAGTCCCCAAACATGCCGCTTGCGCTAACATGTCTATCTACTTCCAAGGAGTTCCGATTAAAACTAATCACTTTATTTAGTTTTTAGATAAAAGCAAAAAGTACGGCCAAGCCTTTTATAGTTAGGCGTCTCTTTTTAAAGTCATGCCATTACACATTAAGAATCTTGCCTTGTCAACCAAATGTCTGCTGCCACGATTGACTACCTTCGTTGAGGTGCTTGTATAAGATCAGCCAATTTTGGCTCTCAGGTTTACAACCGGTAAGAAAAAATGCGAGTGTGGATGTAAACACATCTTTATTCATGCTATAGAAACGCTCTTTTTTGCAAAGCGTTTGGATTTTATGCGATTCAATGGGATCCACGACTTATCACTCTTTCTCTTTCTGTCCCTCTCCTTTGAAGAGCGATGATTTAGTGAGTTTGGAGGTTCACTTTGACATCGAGAAAAATATTTTTAATGGACTCTAAAAAGTATAAAATAAGAAATTGATAAGAAAGTTAAAAGTGTTCTGTAATTACTGAACTCTTCACAATTAATAGGAGCACTCTTAGATTATCAAAGAGATTACCCATTTACACTTTTAGATGCATTGATTGAAAATGCAAAGAAGGAAGTGCATTGCGTACAGACACCTCGATTCTAGTAAGGAATGGCTTTGCTCAATGGTGTGCTTGGTTTGGTATTTGGTCCATTTTCCGAAATTATGCCATCTCCCAGGCATGGGGATGGACGAATTCCTACCTCACAGCAGTGGCTGAGGAGCACGCATTTGCCCCTTAGCGTGATTGTATTGTGATGTTATCTGAACACAGGTAGCAACTTTTTTGAAAAGTGAAGTTTATTTATATGCGTAAATGCAAAATTTTTTAATAATGGCTTAAAATTTGCGCTATTGTTTCGCTTTCTCGATTGGCCCACTCCAAATAGCGTCATCAAGGTCGTGTTGCTATTGGCTAAAAGCTCAAAATAAATAATGAGACTACAAACGCGCGATCCTGGTAGCACCACACGTCTTCCCTAATCAATCAGTCACTACCATCTATGTTCGCTAAAGCGTTGTCATTAACATTTATAAGATACAATAGTTTTTTGTGTGGGCTCAGTTTGGTCCAAAACTATTTCCTACAGTAAGATCAATTTTCGTTTAAAGTTTTTAAAAAATTTACCTTTTAGTTCAAATATCCTGCTCAAAAAAGGTTATATTTGCCGTTTGCACAGCCGAGGGGCTTCGATTCGGTGGTTTTGGTAGAGATGGAAGGCTACCTCTAAGAGTAGCAGCACTTGTCAAGGGCAATGGCGGGCGTTGAAGAGGCCTTTGGAGATTGGATGTTGTTGAGGGCCCTCCGCCCCCAGTCATGTTGATGTGGAGAACTGAACGGAAGGTCTTACTCAACGAGGACTCTCGTGCGGCCGAGTGTGATGCTATGGAATTCACACAAGGTGTAGAACCAAAAGTCAGTCGTAACGACACTGGAATACCCTCTTCCGGTTTGCTTTGATTGACCATCTCAGAACTAAAAGCATTTGTTATCACAGACCTCTGGAGATCATCAGCGGAGGCTACCTTTGAAATGCAGATTTGTTTGCCTTTTGCCGCGATACTTAAGGCGAAAGGCGTCTCTGTTTCGATGCAGATGTCCTCATTCGACGCCACTCGGCCAAGAATAAACTTCTTTGGTGGAAGTGCTTGGACTATGGCAGCAATTTTGCCATCATTTGTGCGTACACTTCGAAGACCTTTTGACAGGTCTGTGACAAGAGGATAAGCGGATGCATCAACCGGGGGCGGAATTATAGTTGGTCCAACACTTCGACTACGGGCAGCAGAAGTGTAATATTGTGGATTTCGAAGTTCCATCGGTGTGGCAGGGTGTGGCGATCGACGACTTAAGTTATCGGATAGGGGATGTGGCACGACTGTGACAACATTTCGAAGAGGTTTATCAGGAATTGATGCTCGTGTGAGTCCATTTTGGGGTGCTAAAGACGGCGAAGCCTCCTTGGAGGTCTGATGAGGCCTTACTGGTACTCTAATTCTTCCGATTCCATGGAAGGATGAAGTTAATACGGGTGATGTTATGCGCTGAGGTTGGAGATCTGTAAATATTTCGTAGTGTTTTCTTTAGGATATTATACCACCGATAATTATAGTAAAAATACAAGCTGAATTACCAACCATTTATATGGGTTCCAGTCATGGGTGGTCTACAAATTTGACTGCCAAGGAGTGTGAGATTCATAGTGTTGCCTCGTCGATCGTTTTGGCAGTCGAGAGACCTAACATAGCTTAAAGATTAAATTTAATTTAAAATTGTTTCTACTTAAATATAGTCAGTAGAATAACGTGCGATTGCATGAATGTTCGAACGTAATAGTTGAGGTCCAAGCGCACAAACCATCATGCAAAGTGACTGGTTTTTATTGAATAATTTAATATGTCTTAGATGTTTACATGCGTGCATAGCTTGGTGTGTTTCTTGCCTACCAGTATGCTAATCGGCATGGAGGCAATGACTGGACAAAAAAGGAGAGGTCTCATCAAGTTGAATGCCGCCTTGCCCTAATTGTTTACTGCTTTGTTCTAATGTTGCCAAAAATTCAAATCGTTTTAAAGGTTGAAGCACCGTTAGTCGTATCTCATACTGATACGTCTAACTAATGATGATGATTTTCATATAAAGCTTTGCACCGAAAAATGAGTACATATTCCATAAGACATCATAATCAAATAATTTCACATTAAACTTTTACATAGCTCAAAATTTTTTCCCCAAAATCCCGAAGAGAGATAGGGACGAGGTAACACTAGCGAATCGAAAGGTGGTGTGTACTAACAGCAAGTTTCCTAGACCAGCCCAAGTTAAAAGTGATCCAAAATTCATTTATCAGGGCAGTAAAAGGGCTCACATCCTACAATTTACTGTGGGCAGATCGACTTAAGAGCTGAGATAGTGAGAGAGTGAGGATTTTGACAAGCGTCCTCCACTTCCACCATGCTGTTTGAGGCGGTCTAAGTTCATTCAGGTCTTTGCAGTTCAAAATGTTCCATTTGTTGTTTGCCCAAGCCTCATGCACCGTATGATTTAGAAACACTAAAACTCTCCAAAAAGGTCAGCCTTTTGATGTCCACGGGGCTACTAGCCAAGCATTTGTTTAGAATGGGTTCGAGGTGCATGCGGGAAACAGGCATAAACAACCTTGTTGCAGCTCTTTTCCTTCTGCGTCATTATTTGATTGAAAGACTTTATGTGACTGAACGTGTTAAGTAATTTGCTTCTTTCAAAACCACTAATGCGATCATTTGGTTAATGTCCTGCTAGTAATCGGTGGCCCTACGTCCAAATCTAGGTTGGACCAAATGAAACTCGGAGTGTGGAGACAAGAGGCGAGCGCTTGACTGCGTGCGTCTACACGGTCGCCTCTTAAGGTTCTCAGGTTGCATCAAGTCACCGACATTATACAAGCACCCACGGTATAAGTGAGTAGACTAAAGTTAAAAAAAAAAGAATCGTGAGAATGAAACCCTTTGTCGTCCGACTGGATCTTCGAGACTTCACTGGCCGAAATTCGGTTGAGCAACTGCATGTGCATGTGCTTCAGGTCTAGAAATACCCGACTAACCCGGTCTCACACTACCGTTGAGCCTAACTTCAGTGAATTAAAGAATTTGGGCGTCAACGACGCACAAATTTGCTCGCATGCACATCCGCTAAAGAAAATTTATGCAAGAAAGATGCATTGCTAAATGACTGCAAGCACTGGCTTTCAGGCATTCCTCTGCATTCACTTCTCCTCTACTTTAGGTGCACAGCCTGTGTGTGGATCCTTCCAACCAACCGTCCATTTCGCCTCCAAGGCGTACACCCACACCTCCTTTGTGCAAATCTTAGGAGTCACTTCATTCGGTGATGCTGTCTGGGACACTTCTACCAGGCATGAGTGCTGGGTGGACCCACGTTGATGCACCGTTTCCTTGTTTTTGAACAATTTTTTTGCCATTTTTATGGCACTACTCAACACCCTGACAAGAAACGTGAAACAGGCTGCTCCATCTCATCGTTCAGTCCCTCTTTTTTCCTCTTCTTATTCTTCTTCTTCTCCATTTATTTCCCTACGTTCGCTTACTATCACGCCTTAGTGCCACTGAAAGTGGACACTTGCATGGAGAGGGGAATGAGAAGGTGGCAAAATGGCAATCTCAATTTCACATTGTGTGGTCATCCTCATGAGCCAAAAGAATGCCATTTGAAGCAATAAATCTTGAATGCATATTTATTAAAATGTATAAAAAGCCGAAATACTCTTCTATACAATGGGAGTTTTATTTGCAAGCGGAGAGAGAGTTTAAATTTTATTTGCACAGCTGCGCAGATTATTCATGCAGGCAGTGGAGGCATTCAAATGGAAGTTTCTCGAACAATCGAAGGCTGTGCGTTGCGCGGACGGGCTTAAAAAGGAACATTAACAAAAGTGGGAGCGAAGAGGTCGCAGAAACATGCTTCGTTGCGTTGGCGTTGGTCGACTTACCAGTGAGTGGGCGCGGTGCGCACCGCCGACGCCGCGGTCGGTTGGAGGCGCTGTTTGACTGTGGAAACTTTGGTGGATATTTTATGGGTGTGAATTTAGCACAAATGGGTGTTGGATTGCAAAAGCATGCATTTTGCAAGCAGTGCTGATGAGATACTTTTCGTGCCCTCTCTGTTCTAATTTTAGAGTTGTCAAATATCACTTTGAAGTTGTTAACTTTGACCAAAAGGTCGTCCAGTGGTCGCCTCCTTTCTGCGTTTTCCTTACAGCACCTCGTTGTTCACAAAACTCGTGTGGAATTGTTGACATTTCATTTACAGTCACGAGATATGGCATTTACAACTAATGAAAGGGCCTAACTTGGGTAAGAAAGGATCCTAAACCCTAATTCGGCTCGCATCACCGCGAAACTTGGCTGCAAGGCGACTCCAAACCTTCACAAGTGGGCTGTCGTCTGGACTCCGATGCACACAAGTGCGGTCCATCCTCCACCAAACAAACATGTCTTCCTTTTACTCCTTCCCTCTGCTTCAAAGTCACGCCAGTAAACTTTCAGTCACTTGCATGTCATTCCCTCGTAAAACATCAAAATAGTCTCGCCAAGGAGAAGTGGAGCGCAAGCATTCTCTGCCGGCCATCACCATCACTTCTCACTCATTTGCAATTTTAATTTCGAGGCAGAAAGTGCCAAAATGCTTTTCTTTTTCGTGTCAGCAGTGCTAACGGAGGTGGACAAAATGCCTTTCATAGTGAACTGACATTTGAGCAATCACTCGTGTCCACTGCGGCTCTGTCCACTTTCTGTAGGGCCTTGGCGTCAACGAGTCCACTTTCAGCCGACGGCAAAATAAAAACACGGAGAGAACTCCGAGAATAAAAATGGGCTGATTTGGTTGCCAATACTTAAACTAAATTCCATACAATTCGCGTTGGCTCACTTCCCGTGCTCCTGCTGGCTTCTGTTACAGCCGTTTGGCGCTGAAAAAAGTCTTTAGACTCGATCTATGGGTGAAAGTTGACCTTAAACTGGTTCTTGCTTTGCTCACCTACACAGGCGGGAAGCGCAGATGGCAAAATGTAAGGTGCCGCATACTTAAAATTTTTTCAAATCGAGAACCTTTTGTAGTCTCAATCCTTCATCGAATGCGTTCGCATATCGTTGTTTAGTGAAAAGGTGGTGCTTGCCTCTGTTTGGCAAGTTTTATTTTGATAATGTGAATGGTCAGATCGCACAGGAGTGACCTCGTTGTCACATGCCAAAGGCACGCAAGATCAATCGGATGTTTAAGGCTTTTGGCATGCATGATTCATGCGCCTCACCATCGATGCCACCACGCCTGTTGAAGGCTTCTGCCACCGCGTTGTTGGCAGCAGTAGCTAGACTGAGGGCTTCCGCATAACCCGAGAGATGAGGCCGTGCGTACGGAGTCGACACCTCGCCACCGTGGATGGGCGATCTCGCCCTCACCACGCTCGGGTAGGGCACCACCAGACTGACTGCAAATGGACGCCACAACATCTCACTTCACTCGCTCAACAACTGATGCCTCCGTGATGACGCATTTTTAACAGACCATCAGACTTTTAAAAGATGAAAAATGGTAAAATTCTATTTCATTTACCTTTCGGCTGAAATTGCGTGGTGGGAGGTGAGGGTCTGCCGTTGCGAGCTGCCGAGTCATACACCTGGTAGGTGACATTTTCTCGCACAGGATTGCCCGGCTGGGAATATCTCAGACTTCATAAAAGACATAAATAAGCGTTTTTTGTTAAATCCACAAAAAAATGAATGCAATAAATTAACATCAGAACTTCTACTGCTACTACTACTGATGGCATTCTCTGCTCGGTTGTTTTTTCTCTCTCTGTTGGAATAGGCAAATCACAAAAAAAAAATGACAGGACTGCAAACATTACCCATTTTGTGAATAAGTAGGAAGCGGGCTTTGGGAGGTGGGAAACCTCGAGAGAGGGTTGTGCACCTGGTTTGGAGGGCCTCCAAGCCGTCGCGAGAACATGTCACCCCATCTGTCGCTCTCGCACGGTTTGTCATGCTGATGGTGTTGTGGTTGTAGGAGGCGTTGCTTTTAAGCCAAGAGAAAAGAACATAAAACAAAAATGTCAATTGCTTTGCACTGCAAGGATCACATAACAACCCACCATACTCTCCAACTTATTGCCATTGAAAGGCTTCGGGTGATATTGAAATGTCCTTGTGGTTACCATGTTTGGTTGTCGCTGTTGTTGATAAAGTGACGCTTGTTGTAGATTCTTCCGCCTCAAGGGTTTCGGTCGTTGCACATCGGAGACTTCATCTTCCGCAATGTCTTCGACCGGAGAGCTAATGAATGCACCATTGCTTGTTCCTTGCATCGCCAGATTAACATCTGCTTGCCACTGGGCAATCTGTTGAACTTTCTTGGCCCACTCGTAATCCTCCTCGGCCTCCATGCGTTGTGATCTTGAGGCAGTGTTTTGAAGACGAGGTTTTGGAACAATTTTCTCCTCTGTGGTCAGACGCAGATTACTAGCAGTAGGCACTGTTACGACAGTTGGAATAGCACCACTGCGTTCATTCTTCGCGTCACTTCGTTCTGATTGGTTCCCAATCTGGTACGCATAATTCTTTTCCAGTGTTGCAGCTGATCGGGTTGTAGAAACCTCCGTCTCCTCATCGCTCCGTTCCCCCTTTTGGCCCCTTTCTTTCTTGTCAAGGAAAGGTTGAGCTGTTTCTGTAGGTGGACTGGAGATAATTTCGCTAATTGACGTGGTCACTGACGTGGCAGGAGGAGTGGCACCGCCAGCCCTTTGACGGATTCTCGGAGGAGGAGAGATTTCCTTGGCAGGACGTACTTCAGGTTTGTCGTCTTGGAGCAAGACAGTTGGCTTTGGGGTGGCCTGGTGAATCACCTCGTGAACAACCTGTTCCGAAACCAGAGGGGGAGAGTAAACACTTTCAAAGGAAGAACGTCGATTGCCATCCAGAGAGTAGAGTTGTCGTTCGACGCGGTTTTCTGGAGTAGTGTATACTAATAATTGACAGGGATCTTCCTCCTCCACAAGACCATCCTCCTCAACTTCTAGACTAGAATTTAAACTGCACTGATTCTCAGTAAAACGGCTTACAAGTGGGGGAGGTGCAAGAAGGTTACTACTTGTTGGAATAGGATTGACAGCAGATCCATAATCCCCGAGATCTGCAGGAGAGATTCCAATACCGGACTCTGGTCCAATGTCCTGGAGGCAGCGCTCCAGATCATTGACTACTTTTTTTGCCGAATCGGAAAGTGAGACTTCGACTAGGAGGGATGGTGTGGAGGTCGACTTAGCCTGAAGGTAAAGCGTATTCAATCCGGCACTAGTAATGTTTGTAGCATCACTTCGCATGGATTCAAAACCAATATCGTCAGTAGCAGCCAGGACTTGCGGAAAGTTGATGTTGATCATGCGGTCAAATTCACTGGGTGAGAGGGAGGTATCGGAGAGAGAGGAACTCTGTCGACTCACCACCAGGTGGGGAACATTTGAGGTCTTCTTATGATCCTTAATATAAATTGAAGTATTGCCATTCACAAGCTGCTCAAACGAACCATATTTTGCCCCATTACGGTGCAGCACAACCTCCACTTCGCTAGCATACAACACAAGCTTAAATAAATCGTTGCCTTTTATGATAATAAATGACATAGAACCTTCATAAAAATTTGTTCCAGAATAGCAACGCAAAACAGGTGGATATGTTCTGAAACATGAACAGCTGCTTCAATTAACATTTTAAAGTTCATGCATTGTTTAAATCGGCAATGTAAACAAGGCATCAACTTGGAAGCCATTTGTCGGTTCGGTCTGTATTTTGGACGCAGATCTGCCCTGTGATTGAGAATCTTATGTAATATAAACAAAGTACTAAAATTCTAGACATCATTTGAAACGTTTAGGATGCAGTATATTACATGAGCAGTTTTGAACTGAAGACTTAGTGAAAGCACAAATGCTAAGAGTGTTGATAATGTTGAGGCAAAAGCAGGAGTCTGGTTATCATGCAAAGCTTGAGACAAGTCCATGTTTACGAAGTGGACCGCTGCACACATGTGAGTGGTAAATGGTTACAGGTAAGCCAACTTGTGGAGCTTTTTTGAAAAATTGTTGGGGTCACCTCTCCAACTCAAACAAGGTTGAATCGGCTTTTACAAACGACAAAGGCTGGAGCGCTTTCATTCCGTCATACATCAATGTAACGTGTGAATATTTCTGACGAACACACCGTCTAATCTGGTAACATTTCAGTTGGAAATTCACAGAAAAGACGCATCTGGGAGGAACGATTTTTCAGTAACTTTACCCTAAAATCTTGCAACCACTGAGAAGCAATCACCAATACCTTATCTGACACTGGTGGAAAGTTGGAATCCGCGTGCTGGATTGGTCTCCCTCCTTGACTTGACAACCCTGGATTTGGTGGAGGAAAACACTTCACCGAGTTACCAATAGCACTTGGTCCTGGAAAGGTGGCACTTAGACAGATTATTTGCTATTGTTAGGCAAAGAAGGCATCTCTATGAAAAGATAGAGAAACAAGCACACAAACCAGTGCTTGCTACTAGGTGAGAGAGTGACAGATTTCAAATAATTGAGTAATTCCTATCTTCTGCCAGGAATGCTGAATGGGAAATGACCATTTGCAACAATCAGGATATTGACGGCGTTTGCAGCCGAGTTAATGGCAGCGCTAAATGAAGTGAGGAACATTCTCTTTTCTCATGTGAAAAATGGGTGATGCTTTAAAGAGGCCGCGATATAAAATAAGCATCAACGGACAAATACCGTCTACAATTCGGCAGATAATATCTGAATGGTGTCATGGTTAAATGCCATGGCAGCAGATGGCGCAAATGCTTACATGTAATCACCGTTTATTCAAGGCAACAAAGTAAGGATATTCCTTTGAATAGAGGAACGCATGTTTTGTCATGACCTCCTTAATTTCATTTTTACTTAGCGTTCCGTTATCGTTTTGCCCCCACATATTGCACTTTTTCTAATCGTTGACAGTTAGTAAAAAGCATCAAGAGGAGAAGTAGTTATGGCACTTATTTGCTTCACTGACTCTCAAGAACTGACCTCCTGCGACATTTGTGCTTTGCAAAATGTGAGCCAAATGATAAGCATCATTAATGAGGGCGTATCGATGGTGCAAACTTGTCAGGCACGACTAGAGTTCGTGTCGTTCCATGCCATTTGAAGCATCATCTGAGGCATTCAGATAGGAAATGGAAAAATGTGCATTGGTTTCAATTAATCATCCACAGCAATCGCGAAGAGGTGGTAAGAAGATGATTTTAAATTTACTTAAGAATTCTGGGCGATGAATTTGTTCTTTATAAAAAATAATAAAAAGTGACAATAATGTGGAAGGTTTCACAAGAAAACTTCGGTTTACCAAGGCATTTTTACTCTTATCAAGAAAACACTTGCTTATTGCAAGGTACACATTGGATAATGTGATTTGTCGATCAAATTCTACCGCCAAAATTTGTTTAACTTGCCTTGGGTACTGAAAGGGGGAAAGAGTGTTCACCACAGCTTCAAACGAGAGCTGATATAATGCCTATTGGGGGACGGAAGACGACACATTTCTGTGCTCAAAGTGAATCAATTGAACCAATGAAATTCATCCTTCAATCTGATTGGCTGCCATTGTGTCACTGCCGCACTCAGACCATCCTTCTATTCTTTAAATGGCTGAGAGGGTGAAATATTAGCATTTTGTGGGAATTGGGCTTCAACTACTCCGAAAGTGCGCAGGAATTAAGAGGATCTTCAAATTTATCAGAATTAATTCCGAACCATCGCTACGGCTTAATTTTGTAAACTTGGAGAAGGATTTGTTTCACCTGCTATAATTGCAACTGGCATCCACAACAGATAAGAAATTGGATCTTATTCCAGATTTTCTTTACAAAAATGATACATAATTTCAAATATTTTTGCAGGCATTTGCCTAATTTATGCAACATTTTCAAATCAGAAAAGGAAGTGGGTGTCGGTGTGTAGGTTCTACGTGAATACGCAACTGGAGGTATGCAAACAAGAAGACAACAGAGACGGTGATGAGTCACGCTGAACCGAACCGCTTGTGTGTTTGTGTGTGTGGATTTTGGACTACGCATCCCATTGATCCACACCGATTGGTGGCCGGAGTGGGTGCGTGAGGGAGGGTTGTAGAACGGGAAGGAATTACAACTGATTCTAGCCAATAGAAAAACGAGGCTGCAACCTATGCACTACTTTTGCTGTTTTGTTATTTGCTAATAGCCTTCTTTTTTGTCCTCTCTCAAGATAAATCATAACGTCATTTTGTGGAGCAAGTTTTGTAGACTTTTTGATATTTTCGTATTCAGAAGAAGAATGCGTGTTGTGGAGTGGCATGTTTGACAAGAGCTACCAACCGTCATTATAGGCGTAATAAAATCCGAAACCTCTACCTTTTAAAAGGGGGGGTAAATAACGATGCATTGTATCCAGGAAAATATGTTTCGCTTCTACTCAAAAAAATTACGACTTATTAAATATCGCATTTGTTTGCTGATGAGGAGAAGGAGGAGGAAACGAATCTAGTCACGTTGTGGTCAAGAATAGCTTCCACTCATTATAAATTATGTAAATGGTCGGCTCAGCTGTCGTCTTGATGACAGGAACACCTATCAATCCAACTCTCCCTGTCCGCAGGAACGCCATCAATGAAAGTGCGGAGAAGTTCAAAAGTGCACATCATGTGACGGATAAATGGAGCCACTCCGAGGCTTCAGGATTTATTAGATGACAATTAGTGAAAGTGCTGCATGCAGTATTAGAAGCTTCCAATCAAATGGGGCCTAAACGACCTATCTTTGTCAAGGGATTGATTTAGGAGTGTATGTACACCGTTCAGGAACACCCTTTCCTCGGGTTAGCCACGAGGAGTGGTTTCATGTGACGGATGGCAAGACGCTATTCAAAAGGCAGCTTGGACGTAACCTTTGCACAACTTTTGTATGCTACTTTCATTTCAACTGACGTTGTAATGAAAAATGCTTTACCTCTTTCGTTTAGCAACAAAAGAGCACATCATTGTCTACCACGTTGTGGCTCGCTCTTACATGACGCATGCATCATTTCTTTCCTCCTGTTAACTATGCGTCGCGTGTGGGTGCTGCAAGGAAGACAGGATTCCTCACAGTGAATCATTCAACTGCAAAGCTTACAAAAGGCATCTTGTGGTAGTGCCTAGTGGTTAACATTCAAATTAGCGTTCCACGGTGAAAGTGGCTACGAGTGACCAAACAAAAGAGCAGAGATTTTTCCGTCAGAAGTTAACCCAGCACTTCAAGTTGGAGGAGAGAGGGACAACATATATATTCACTTCAACCTTTTCACTACCACACGGCTCACTTCTACTGCTCGTCAAAAGCAAAAAGCTTTATTAAGAATAGATAATCAAAAAAGCGGAAAAAGTCACTCAAAGAGATCTAGAAGTTGATTTTTTAGCTCAACAATGGCTCAAAAGTAACGTCAGTTGATCATCTCATGCACGCTGCAGAAGTCGGCTTTAAGTTTACGAGTCGCTTGAAGAGTCAGCTTTACTCAAGTCCTAATTCATCACACTAACATGGCTGAAGAAGTACCAAGCGCCTAAAGGTACGGCCAGAGGCGTTGTCATAGCATGTTGCTCATTCCATCAAATGGTAGTGCAACCTGTGGAAGTCGATACCCCTCGCCACACGCATCACCACTTTGCTCATGTGTCGAGCTTGAAGCACAGAATGCGGAGGTCGCAACACATTAGCCACCTTCCAATGTCCACCACATCCGTTAGACCTCGATGCGAGTCGTCTCGAGGGGGTGCAAGATTCAGAAATTCCGATTCGATTTACAGCATCTACTTCTACTAATAAGTAGTATTCGATGGTCCTTTCAAAATGGCATTTTACTCCATATAACTAAGGTTGAACAGGGCGAGTCGATGATATCCTGGTGACACCTCACCCGATTACCGTTGTTTTGCCTCTTGCTTAGTCGTTTACTTACCTTTAGCGCCCTTTCAAAGGATGACCGCTACCCTCCCACCCTGTCAAGCACCCAACAACGAGCATGCAAGAGGGAGAGAGAGAGAAAGGGTAACCAACTCCTGACGTTATGTTGCCCTCAGTCTTCTCAGCGGATCCACATATCAGATTTAATGCGCTTCAAAACTAATCAAGTAATGCGTGCGTTCATTAAGCAGAGGGACAAGGTACCTCTCTATTTCACGACCTTTAAATGGACATCCAACCGCTTCATTTTCCCTTCCCCCATTTATCCTCCACACTTTGGTGAATTCCGCAATAATTTGTTGTCCAAAAACTATTTTCGCCATTTTTTGCTCTCACAAACACATACACACGCAATTCTGTGAGGGTCAATTGCCGAAGCCAAAAGGGATGGCTAAAATGAAATCTTATTGGCTTTCTCAGAACACTTTGAGTAAGAAATTCTCTTCTAGCTGTCACTAGTAGAATAATTCGCTAAAAGATTTGATTAATTAAAAAGAGAGGAAAAGTATTTGCAGAGAATGCAATGATCACGTGTTAGTCAGTGCATGTCAGCACATCTGCGAGAGCAAACCCTCAAAGGGGCTCCTTCATTGCCTCAGTGACGAACACTGAAAA